GGACCGTGATGAGGATGCACGGGGCAATGACATTAACCAGGTAGAAGAGGGGCTTCCGGCGGATGATGAGGTAGAAGATGACTTCCTGGCGCTGTCCTTCCTTCCCTCCGGGAGGAACCCCTGGAGGCTGGATTAGCCGAGAGGGTTTGTGGATAATCTCCCATTGGCCATTCTCTGGAAGAAAGTGGAGGGGAGAAATAGAAGAAGCTGACAGACACTTAGGCGGGAGTTGTCCTGGTTTGTGTGGGACAGCACCCGCGGCAGCTCCACCTACTCACCAATGAAGGTGCCCTCATGGATGTAGATTTCTTGCCGCGCTTGCCCATCAGGCCCCAGGCCCGTGTGCAAGCTGACCTCGGAGCTGTCATAGCTGTAGGAACTGAACACCATGGTGCAGTTCTGCCAGTCGAAGGGGAAGTAGGTGACCTGGATGGAGGGCAAAGTCAGGATGGGAGAGAGGGGTCTGGGAGGTCCTAGGGGGTCAGAGATCCCCAGGAGATGCAGTCATACAGAGATTGCAGAAAGTGGCAGAGCCCTAAAGAGGGGTCCATTGGAGAAAATGAGCTGGAGGTCTACACAAACATAGATGATGATGCTCAATGTTAAATTAGATGGGCAAAGGAGAAATGGGGCGGAGGGGTGATGGAGTCGGGTTATTGAAGGAGAGGGAGAATTTGCTTCCATGGGTTTCCCCCATTTCCACATCCCTAGCCCCCACCCCAGGCGGAGCCGGAGACCTGGATGCTGCAACTGCTGCGATAAATGCCTGGTGGCTGCCAATGCACCGACCCGTTGGAGGACACCACCACATTCATGTCCAAAGCCACATCAAAGTTCCCGTCGTTGCTATAAGACCAGCATGGGCTGGTGAGGGACCAGGCCCCGCCCCCATCAACACCCCCACAACACCCCAGCCCCACGGAAGCTCCTAACTTGTTGAGCAGCACCACATCCGGCAGCCACACCGACGAGGCAGTGATGCGCAGTAGCTCGATGCCATCGTATTCCATGGGGTCCCAGCTTAGCCTGTAGTCAGCCCATTCCTAGGGAAGAACAGGCTGGGGGTCCTGCCTGGAGGTGGAAGTCAGCGGGGCCCTGGGCGACCACCATGGGAAGCCCAGGAGGGGTGTGGAGGGGAAGGGGAGGGGGACAGCGCGGGCCTAGGCTGAGCTCGAGGACTGGGCTTTGGCTCGCCTCTGCTCTCCAGGACCTAGCAAGCAAATTTCCCTTTCCCATATCGGGCTTGATTTTGTTGGTCAAAATGAGGAGGTCTTACTGGCCAGTGTCTTCAATAGTGTTTTCCATACTACAGTTCAGGACAAATGGTCCCAAGTATTATATATATTTTTAAAAAGTACTAAAAGATGAGGTGGGGTATCACTGCAGCACAGAGCTTACCCCTCCTTGGGACACAGGTTCAGCTGGTCCGTTTCCAATCCAGTTCCCTGCCAGCGTGCCTGGGAAGCAGGTCACTGCTGGAGTCCTTGGGACCCTGCCACCCATGTGGGAGTCCTGGCTCAGCCCTGGCTGTTGCATCCATTTGAAGAGTGAACCAGTCAGTCTCCCTCTCTCTCTCCCCCTCTGCCTTTCAAGTAAATAAATCTTAAAAAAAAAAAATGGACTGAAAAATACTTGAAACAAATCTCAAAGCATACGTATTGTTTTCTGAAGCTTCTGTTTTGGTTATAAATTTATTTTAAAAAGCATATTTATTAGAGACAGAGGGATTGAGAGATCTCCCACCCACTGGCTCACTCCCCAGATGGCCACACTGTCATGGCTGGGATAGGCAGAAGTCAGGAATCAGTAACTCAATCCAGGGCTTCCACGTGTGTGTCAGAAACCCAGTTGTCTCTTAGAGTCCACATTAGCAGGAAGCTGGAGTCAGGCCTCGAACCGGTGGTGAGTATTGAACCCAGGCCGCGGTGTCTTCACGGGTAAGCCAAACACCTGCCCCTAAATGTATTTTTCTGAGGTCGCGATGCCAGAAATGTTCTTATTGGATAGGACATTGGAAAAGGGAAGATGCCATTTCCCACCCCACGGGGTTTCCATACCAGATCTAAGTACACCTTTGTGCTCATCTCTTCATCCTTCTCGTTCTAGATGGGAAAGATTTGAGAGGGCAGCTATGTAGGGTGCAGTCCAGAGGCTTTGGAGGTGTGAACCGCCCCCTGCAAATCCCGCCCCCTTTCCTGAGCCTTTGGGTCTCAGCACTACTCCTGGCAGGTGCGTTGGCTTTAAGTCCAGCCTCCGCTGGGACACACTCCTTCAGTCCCAGCCTGTCCATCTAGCTGCCCCTACCCCACCCTCCGCCCCTAGCTCATAATTCATCCATTCCTAGATCCCCGCCCCTTGCCGATCATTGCCCCCGCTGAGCGTCGGGCTCCATCCCAACCACCTTGACTTTTTATGACCCGCCCCAGAGTCGCCCTCCAGCCTTACTTCAAGGTCCACCCACAGGTCTGTCAGTCACCCTCCAAGACTCCACCCCCGTCCCGCCTAAGCCACACCCACAGCTGTCCATTGGTCCAATTTCTGCCCTGCCTGCCCATCTCCGGGCCTGGCTCCGCCCCCAGCCCGTCTGCCGGCCAGACCTCGAGCCGCCGCGAGCGCCCTCACCAGGCTGATGAGCTGCGCCAAAATGAGGCCGATGCTGACCCCGACGCGGTCGCCCACCTCCCGCGCTGGCCGCACAGAGCTGTCGTAGCCCGAGAAAAGCTTCTGGCGGAGTCTGCCCTCCGCCTCCGAGCCACTGGCACCTGGGAGAAGAGAGCACTAAGCTTGCTCCCTGGAGCTGGGTCAAGGCCGCTGCCTTTGTCATTGCCTCCTGGGGACCCGGACTTACCCGGCGCGAGGGGCGCCCCCAGCACCCCCAGCAGCAGCAGCAGCAGCGGTGGCAGCGCCTGTGGGGTCATAGCCAGGCCGGTCGCTCAGTCAGTTCGATCGGAGAGAAGCCGGGACTGCCAAGTGCAGGGGAAGTGACGAGGCGCCGGGGAATGTGCACCTGTTGCTAGGGGGCAGCCGCCAGCCCACCCGCCCCGCCCCTCCCTCTTCCCGGGACTTGGTCCCGCCCCGACCAACTGCGCTTATCCACAGATGACAGACAACATTTGGGTTGTAGAAATCGTCTTTAATTGATAAAGCGAGGAGTGCGGGGAGCCTTCCGGTCCCCGCGGGATAGCAGAGCTAGGGGGCTAGGGGTGGAGGGGTTGGAGCCTGAGGGGGTAAGTGTGGGAGAGGGGCATCTAGCCCTCCTGCAACAAGCCAGAAGTAAGAGAGCCTGAGAAAAAGCCCCCTGCACAATCTCTCTAGGCCCCCTCAGTCTCTCCGGCTCAGGTCTGCGTGGAGTCTGTCTCCTAGAGCACTAACACCTAATGTCCTCGTTCTTTTCACAAAGGTCTAGCCCAGACCTTTTGTGCAGTCCCTAAAGCCCAGTGAACTCTAAAGTAAAGCAGGTTTATTGGGTTCAAAGCTCTGGGGGCGGTGGGGGGGTAGGGGGCTGGTGAGGACGGGTGATGTTCAAGGTCTTAGGCCAAGAAGCCTTCTCCCTCCCTGGCTTGTCTGACCTGCAAGGGAAAGGGACTTATTGCTGAAGTGGGGGGGTCTCCTTCCTGAGGGAGGGGCAAAGACTGCAGGCTGAGTCCTATTTGTCTTTGTCTTTTCTTTTCTAGACCCATGATTCAAACGACCTCAGCTTCAACAGGGACCTAGGAGGAATTCCTGCTGAGGTATTTAAGTGTTCATGGCACCACTACCATCACCACCCCCTGCCCTGTCCTGGTGTTGATCCAGATTTGGTCAAGCCCCGGTTTTGGTCCCTGCTGCTTCCCAGTTTCCCGGCCAGGAGCCAGGGATCCTTCTGAAATCCTCTGCCCTTTCGCAGACTTGGTTTCTGCGGCAGGACCTCAGCTGGGCTGCAAGGATTAGAAACTGCATGTATACATCAATTAATAAATAAGGTTAGCATCCTATGTGGAAGAATAAACCTTTTAGAAAATTGTCCAGGGGAAAAAACAAGAAGTGGTTCTGGATGCATCCTGAACTTCATGCCTTGTGAATCACAGCTGGGTCCTTTCCAGCACTCATCTTTAACTTGTGTCCCTAGAAGAGGAGGGGAGGGGGCGTCTAGAACTTTAGGCTAGAGCAACAATATGGCTATATAGGCCCCAGTTCCCTGCTGCAGAAGGAGGGTTGGACATCACGGTTTATGTCCTAGAGCTGAGATTCGGGAAGAAAGTATGGCTCCAAAGAGATCTAGAAGGCTGTGTTCCAGAACTGGGTGTCTCTGGGATAAGAAAGTGAAGCCAGTGGCGATCTGAGGTTGGTCCTGGTTCGGGCCAAGGCCAAGAGCACCACAGGGCTCCATTGCAGTCTTTCTGTATTTGGAAGTCAGGGTCCATCTGGGTCAAGGATAGAAGCCTGAGGGATCTAGAACAGTGCCTGGCAGCAGGCCTGGGCTCCAGCCCAGAGCCCTGAGACAAAAATGACCCTGGCTGGGGGGTGTCTGACGTGCCAGGCTCTATCTGGACCAAGGCAGAACACAGAGATGGGAAATAAAAAGACAGGAATCCTGAGCTGCAGTGGACCTAAACATCTATGGCTCAATGGCAATGAAAGGGATGTGGGGGCCTGGGGACCGGCTGAGCCAGAGGCCAGGAATGTTTATGCCCTGGGTCAATCCGTTTTGGACCCCCTTCCCCATCACCAAGTGTCATCCCATGAAAAGGCTTGGGGATGGGAGAAGGGGAGGGCAAGTAGAAAGAAAGACACAACCAGCCAGGTCTATTTTTCAGGTGTCCCTTCTCTGACCCTCAGGGTCTCAGCAGCCCCTAGGGCTCTGTCAAGGCAGGACACCTGCTGAGACCTGGCTGTCCAGGGCACGTGTGTGGCAGCGGGGTTTGGTGATGAGGGGTAGTGTGTGAGAGCGGGCTGGGAGACAGGCTTGGCGGTGGCTGGCTCACTAGAAGAGCAGGGAGCCTCAAGTCCAGGATTCACACTCAGGGGGCAGGTGGACTGGAAGGGGACGTCTCGGGCACACTGTGGAGAGAAGGCTCCCGGTACATGGCCACTGTGAAGGACAGAGAAACAGAGAGAGGCAGGTCAGGCCCAGAGAGAGCCCAACAGGGCCAGTACCCCCACACAGCTCCCTTCTTCTACTTGCCCTCAGAGGGGCCCCTGACCCACAGGAAGAGAGCTCGAAGGCTACAGGTCCTCTTAACAATGGTAAGCTTAGCTGAGCATCACCCCACGTCTGTGTCAAGGTCAACACTCGTCCAGGTGACGCAGTTCCCTGGAGGCCAGACCCACCTTCCAGTAGCTTGGGCACAAAGTGGGCAGCCGCCTTTGTCTTCTTGACTCTGTTTCCCTTCATGACCCGGCCCTCCTTGTCCAGGCCCAGGTACCAGGCACGGCCAGATCGACGCTGGCGGTAGAGGGCAGAGGCATACAGGACGTAGTAGTTCTCAAAGACACACTCTTTAAAGCGACACTCCGCTGTGAAATGTGGCTGCGGGAGACAGAGACCCACGGGAAGACACAAGGACACATCATGGGACAGAAGGAAGCCCTCGAATAGAACAACCCAGGAGAGAATCTAGTATATTCTGGAAAGAGAAGAACAACTACTGAGTCCAAGCAGAAAGTGGGGATAAAGGGAAAATACAGACTAGCCTAGTAGGACCCTGGGGGTTAAAAACAAATGAAAACAACAACAACAAAAACCCTAGACTTCCGGGGCAGGCATTTGGCTTAAGTCACCACTCAGGACACAGGCATCTCATATCAAAGTGCTCATGTAAGGTTCTGGCTCTTCAATCTAGCTTCCTGTTAATTCCCACTCTGAGAGACAGCAGGTAACGGCTCATGTACTTGGCTGCTGGCCATCCTGGGGGAGACCCACACTGAGTTCCAGTCTCCTGACCTCAGCCTGGCCCAGCTCTGGCTGCCGCAGGCATCCGGAGCGTGAACGAGCAGATGGAAGAGCTCCCTGTGTCTGTCTCTCTGTCTTTTAAATAAAATGAAAATAAAGTTTTAAAAGAACCACACTTCTGGAAGCCCTAAAAGAAAGTTCTCCCCCCTCTTTTTTTTTTTTTTTTAAGTACAACAAAAACATGTTTATTTATTTGAAAGACAGAGTGTCAGAGAGATTGACAAGCACAGGGAGATTTTTCCATCTGCTGGTTCACTTCTCAAATGGCCGCAACAGCTGGGGCTGGGCCAGGCTGAAGCCAGGAATCTAGAACTCCACCTGGGTCTCTCCTACAGGCGGCAGAGGCCCAAGCACTTGGGTCCTTCTCTGCCTTCCCAGGCACATCAGTGGGGAATTGGATTGGAAGGGAAGCAGCTGGGATTCGAACTGGCATTCACATGGGATGGCGACAGCATCACAAGCAGCGCATTAATGCGCTGCCCCTCAACTCCAGCCTAAGATCTCTTCTTTCCTCTGTGGATCTCTCACTGTCCCTGCCTCTGTGGAAGTGAGCAATAACAAAGTTTGGAGGATGATGAGAAGGGGCGGGGGGTTACAGGCCTGAAAGAATGGGACCCTCGATGAGCTGGGGAGTATTTAGGAGGGTGTTGTCTGGAGAGCAGGGATGGGAGTGGGAAGGGCAGTAATGACATCAGCAGAAGACTCCAGACTCCAGAGCTGCATGTCTGTAGTGGGGGACGGTGATACTTGGGGTGTGTTGGGGGAAGCCCCAGATCCCCAGGGCCCCTCTGTCAGCATCTCACCGAGCTGTAGAGCAGTCCCTCGGCGTTCATGGCCATGTAGTGACCCAGCTTGGCACTCTGGATGGTGACCACTCGGAGCCCCACGGGGATCAGGTTGAAGTGGGCTGACCAGTGGAGAGTGCGTGTCAGTGCTCAGGCCTGTCACTGCACCTGAGCTGCACCCCTCCCCATGCCCTCTCCCACCATGCCACCAAGGGCATGGTTCCCCTTGGCGGTCGGGCCAGGCACGTGCTCCCCGTGTCCCCCCTTCTCCCATGGCTGCCTTGCCCACTCACTGAAGGAACTGGTGTCCTCCGCAGTACCCTGGATGCTCCCGTCAGGATTGGCCTGGAGGTAGAAGCCCTGACGGCAGAACAGTTTGGTGACGATGCCTTTGAGCTGGGGCTCTGGGGGGAGAGACGTTCGTCTTTGGAAAGTACATCTCTGTTCCCAGGAGCATCCATTGCCACGCTTGGCAGGAGCCGGACAGGGCAGCAGAGCCACGGAAGAGAGGGGGTCACGGCCCCAGCACACTCCTCCTGCAAGCAAACTCTCGCCCACCCTTCTCTCTCCGACTCCTGGGGAAGCTGCTCTGTGGGGCCCTCCTGCTTCCTCTAACCTCCGTTTAATTTATTGAAATTTATTTAAATGGCTTAATTCCTACTGTACAGCTCAGCCAGAAGGGGGAGGGGAGAGGAAGGAGGAGGGGAAAAGCTACATCAATTGGCAGAGGACAGAGGGAAGCAGGCAGGCAGCCCTTGAACAGTGCAGTGTGGGCCAAGGTGGAGGTGGGGTCGGGGGGAGAAGTGGCTGGGTGACTACAGGGTAGGGGCTCCCTCCAGTGGGGGCGGGGTGGGACCATGCCTGACACTGACTCAGCACCTGCTGCTGGACCGCTGCTGGCTTGGCGCGGGCCTCGCCTTGGCCACGAGCCTGCCTGTCTGACACTGACCATCAGTCTATCTGTCAGTCTGTCAGTCTGCTGGCTCCGGGGAGCCCAGGTCTCCCTGAGGCTTCAGCCTCTGTTCCTACAGTCAGGTTACCCGCCTGGGCTGGGGGACCATTCAGCACCACCTCCAGGAAACGGGGGAAGGGGGAGACGCCGAGAAGGAGGGGCAGCTTGAGTCACGTGGGCATCGGGTCCCACTCCGAAGGTGGGTGGGCTGCGGACTGTACCACTGTGACCAGCCGGTGGGAGGAGGGAAGAAAGGAGCCAGGGGGCTTCCCCCGGGGTGCCGCGATGGAGTGGGCTGCAGCAGGAGCAGACGGACTCCCCGGCTCCCCGACCTGGACGGGGACCACGCGCTAATCGGCACAAGCCTCCTCCCCCTCCTCGGTTGCTTGCCTCCTGTCTCCCTTGTATATGGTACGACCCCCCATCCCCAATCTCTGTGCCGGTCTTTGGCCGTGAACTGTGCCTGAGTTCTTCCTGGCAAGGTCCCCTGAGCCCATGGAACCCGGTTTTGGAGTCGCACCAGGGGGTTGGAAGAGGAAATGGAGTGGGGTGCCCAGCTCCCCCCGGAGGCGCAGGTTGGGGGGAGGAGGGCGCACCGAGGGGCTGCTGCCTGGCGCGGTGGCTGCAAGGGCATCAAGGGAGAGAGCTGGGGAGATTGGCTCGGAGCCAGGCAAGCTGAAGCGGGAGAACCGGGGCGGGGGCGGCGGAGCCGCAGAAACCCTCGGGGTGACCCAGGCATCCGGAACCCCCCTCCCCGCCCCTCCACTCGGACGGAAAGAATCGCGAGAACCGGCACGTAGGCGGAGGACGGTGGGGGTGGGGACTCCGATGTTTGAGGGGGTGGGGTGGGGTGGGCAGGAGCTGTAAGATTTCGGGGCGCCAGACTCAGCACCCCGCCCCCAAACCTTCGCCTCATCCTTGGAAGCACCGAGAGTCGGGGGTTATGGACAACAGAAAAGGGAAACTGAGGCACGGCCCGGCAGGGACTTTGCGGTCCTGACCCACCCCCTCTTCCACTCCCGGGACTCCCCGCCCCTTTTGCCCGCTGGGGGCCCGGTTATTCTTCAGAGTCACCCCAGCCTCAAGCTCTCTGGCTCCGAGACCCCCGCCCCAGCCGCACTCACCCGGGCCGCGGTCGGGCCGCGCGGGCCGCCCCCCGCACAGTCGCACCTTGGACAGCAGGATGAGCAGCTGCTTCTGACACAGGGACTTGGTGCCGCGGGGACACACGCGCCGCTGCGCCGACACCGGCCGGCTACCCCCGGGCTCGCGGACCTCCCGCTTCTGCCGGATCAGGCTACTGGCCAGCGCCGCCATGGCGCCCCGCGAGGAGACACCCCCAAAACGGCGCGCTCACCAGGGCATGCTCTTCACTCTCTAGCCCCAGCTCGCCGCCCCACCCACTAGACCGGAGGCAAACCCCACACTGTCCTCGCCCTGGCCTCCAGCACCCACCCTGGGGCCTTTATCCTGGCTCCACTCGATCCTGCAGCCTAGAGCGCTACTCCACTGACCTCACCTCGAATGTTGCCCCTGACTGAAAATTCCCCCCTTCCCTCCTCTCTGGTGCCTGGCTCTCTGCTCCCTCAATTCCAAAGCAAGCCCTCCCAGGATGTGTTTTCCGGATCCCCCAGGCACCTCCTCCTTCCCAGCGTGTTTCCGAGTGAGCACCCCTGCCAAATCTACTTTCCCAGGCTAGAAAGTGAGGGTCCCAGCTTTGGGGTTCTCAGCTCGCTGCACAGGACGAACTGTCAATGTCAGAGAGGAGGAGCCCTAGGCTACCCTCTCGATGGAGATGATCTCCCACTTTTTTTTTCTTCGTCTTTACTGAAATCCGCCCCCCAAAATGTCTCAGAAAATCCAGGGTGTCCCAATTCAGTGGGAAGTGTCTCTCAGATGTCCTGGGTGGGCAAGGTCCTTTTTCACCATCACTCCCATTTCTGACAGCACAGGGTTCCAGGCGCCCAGACCCTTTTTTCTTCCACCCCGTTTCCAAGTCACCTCCAAATCCGCCCTTGTTAGTGGATACACCAGGTGGGAGTTTGGAGAGCCATCAGTCACCTGAAAATGAGCATGCCCCCCCTCCTTGGACTGCCCCCTAATTTCCTCCCTGGCAGCTTGGGCTGTATAGATCCCACGCCCTCCAATCTAATTAGCCTCCAAGGGAGGAGTGCACCCACATTGTTGCCAGTCCCCAAATGTGAAGAGCCCCTTTCTTTCCCCGCAAGTCAGAGCTCCTCCCGGGAACTGCCTCCACTACCCCCTCTTCCTTTTCCCGACGCCCCTTCCACCTGTCCTGTCCTGTTGATCCGGCTGATGGACGGTGCTGCCTCCAGCTCCTCTCTCCCAGTCCTCACGCCTGGCTAGGCGTCCCGGGCCCCCGGGGAAAGGAGTGAGGGTGTCTCCGCAAAGCGCCCGGGTCCGGCGAAGTCCGAGTACTGGGCCTGGCGGCTGGACCAGGCGGCGGCAGCGGCTCTGGGAAGCCGAGGCGGCGGCAGCGGCGGCGAGAGCAGCTCCCCCTCCTCGGAGAGCCAGCCCGGGGGCGGGGCAGGGGGCGGAGACGCTGGGAACGAGGGGGGCGCACCCGGGGCGGGCCGAACCAGGGGTTCCTTGGAGGCCAGGCCGCGCGAGTCTGGGTGTTCAGAGGACAGGGGGACCAGGAGGCCTCATCAATGGAATCGCGGATCAGGGAAAGAGGCTGTGCTCTGGAGCGGTGGCATGGCGGCCGCCAGGAGAACAAGGATGGGACCCTACTGCTCCGGCTGGAAGTGTCCGCAGGGACCGGAGAGATGGGGGGTAGTGGGGAGGCCCAGCCGGGGGAGGCTTGGCCTCTTTAATTTCTTCTCTCGTGAACCCAACTGAGCCGTCCCGGGTCTCCATAGTCCCCTTCAGCCTTTGGCATTTTGTTGGCAAATGCATTCCTCTTGCCATCTCCACTGATCCCGAAGATAAAAGACCCAGAGAAGTGGGGAGGGACAGTTTGTAGCGGGGCAGGGATACTGACTGCAAACTTGCGGGGTAGAGGAACTGCAGGACCTGGGGGCGGGGGGGTTGCAGAATGAGATTCCCACGAAGCTTTATAGAAAGGGAACAGTAGACACAGGGCACACTCCAGCTCCCAGTCGAGGGTTAAGCCGCCCCCTCCACGTCCTGCTCCTCGATGGAAAAAAAAGGGAGCCCTTTCCATGCCGCCGGTAGGAACAGATTCTTTAATGCACCCCGCCTCCCACGCCCGCCAAGCCACCCCCTTTGCGCGCCACCTTGGCTTCCTCTACAGCCGCTCGCAGGGCCTGCACAGGGTCCCCACGGAGCTGGACCAATGCCCCGAGCAGCGCCAAGGAGCCATCCCCAGCGCTGAGCTTTCGGCGGCTCAGAAAATAATGAGGCAGCTTTCCGGCCTCGAGCACACGGCCTAGCTCGTCCAGCAGCCCCAGGCAGCAGGCACCCGCATTTTCCGGGCGCGCCAGGTAGAGCGCGGGCAGCCGCTCGCACGCCCAGTACAGCAGCGTCCGCAGAAGGTAGGGCGCCGCGGCCCGGGTCCCCGCCACCAGCGGGCGCAGCAGCGCCTGGGCCGCGGCGTGCGCCTGCAGCAGCGGCGCCGGGACGCGCGCCTTGAGCGCCAGCTCCTGGCGGGCGAAGCAGAGCTGCCACTCGGAGGCTCCCGGCGGCTTGGTGCCGCCGCCGGGCACCAGGTAGAAGGAGGTCGACTCGTCCTCCAGTGGACCGGCCCACGAGTGGCTCCGAGCTCCAGCGGGCCAGCCGGCCACGGACACCACAGGGATCAGGTCGAAGAGCAGGAGGCGGCGCGGGGGCCCGGGCGTCGCCAGGAGGAGCGTGGTGAAACCCGCGTGGCGAGCTGCGTGCACCAGGCGCGGAGCTCCCGGGACTGGGATCAGGGACTCTGCGACCGCCGTCAGGGTAGCGAAGAACCAGGCGGCCACCTGCGTGGGGCACAGCGTGGGCCACGCCTCCCGAGTCTCCAGCGGCTCGTCCTCTGGGACGCCGCTTTCGACGGCCGCCCGGATGACCTCACTCAGTGCGAGAGAGCCCAGAGCCGTGGTGACGTCACGCTGGGGTGACTCCAGCCCTGAAACGTCACTGTCACTCGGGGATGTTCCCGAGGCTGCCTGTGCCTCGGGCTCGGTGACGTCGCCGGCCGGCTGGTGCACCGGGCTGGGCCGCTTGTCAGGACTTGAGCTGCTCTCGGGGTGGCGGATGGAGTCGTGTCCTTCTGGCACTGGGGGTCCTAGACAATCGTGCCAGGCCTCCCGGGCCGAGCGTCCACACACCAACCCTGGCAGGCGGAGCCAGGCAGAAGAAGATTCCAGATCCAGTTGCAGTTCCTGCCCGTTGCCGTCCAGCGAAAAGATTGGCACTAGCAGAGTGAAGCCAGCGTCATAGTGAGGTCCCCGGGCATAGGGGCCCAGCGGTGCAGGCCCCAGGTCCAGGGAACCCTCGCGAATGCCGCCACGCAACAGCAAGAGCTCCACCTGGGGAGGAAAGCGGGGATCCCGGCGGTGAACTAGACCTAGATCAGGAAGAAACACGTTGTAAGGATCACACTGCAAGCCGGGGGTGCTGAGAGCTGCGAGTTTCCACCGTCCGGGCGTCACTCACCCAGGAGGGAGAAGACGAAATCCCTGGCCCGGAGGAGGTCGGCTCCCGGCTGGGGCCCGTTACTCCAGCTCTCCTGCACGCCCAGCTCCTGGATCAGCTGGGTCAGCTCCTGCAGCTGCGCCCCCGAGCAGAAGTCGATGTCCGTGAGCGGTCGCGCCGGGGCGGGGGGCGGCGGGCCCCACCAGGAGACACTGCCCCATACCGCAGAAGCCATGCGGCCCGGTGGCCCCTGACGGGCGAGCGCCTCAGACAGACCAGGGGCGTTTTCCTTCGCTGACCGTCTTCTTCCTTCCCGGAGCCCGAGGAGGAGACCCCACAGCTGAGCCTGCAGAATCTAAAGCTTTAGTCTTCACAATGAACAAACACATACTTCCCTGTCATCGCCCCTTTCTTACATGCAGGTCCCCACACCCCCAACCCCCTTGATCCAGCTCACCTGACTCAGCAGGTGGAAGGTAGCTGTCGGGCCACGCCTACGGAAGGCAGGAGTCCGTCTCCGCAGCCTCGCCCCTCCCTGGTCTACCTTCCCTCTGTCGGCAAAGGCTTGAGGGTTAAACAAGCCTCTTCTCCCCTGCCGGGGGCAGCTGCCAGAGCGAGGAAGAGAACGGCTAGAAATCGGTCCACAGGTAACTTCTTCCCAAGGCCCACAGGTGGCCACGCCCCTAAAGCTAGGCCCCGCCCCGGCCCCGGGTTCCGGCCAGGCCCCGCCTCCAGTCCCAGCCCAGCCGTTTCCTTCACGCCGCTCAGATCTCCAGTTATCCTGGGAGTTGTAGTTTTGTATCCCGCGCTCCCCTCATCCAGGCCCGTTCCGCGGAAGCAGTGCCTGATGGGAGTTGTAGTTTCCATGGTGATTGACAAGCCTATGGATTTCAAGCCCGGATCTGACCTACACATATTCTTTTGAGGAAGAATGAGACAAATCTTAGCAGAAAAAAACAAACAAACAACAAACAAAAAAATGCAACACAACAGTGAGAGGGGCCGACCCTCGTCTCTGGGGATGAAGAGGCACCGCTAAATCACTTAGATACGAGGGGATTCTTCCCAGCCAGTTTTGTCTCATTTGGGGGACTGAGAAGCGTGAAGCCTAGGAGGGTCACACACGACCTTCCCAAGATCACAGGTGATCCAGGGAAGTGTTGGGAAAGCGGCTGCCTGGCTGGGAGGGGAGGACATCTTCTTGGAGTCGCTGGTAGGAGTTTCAGGAGGGATACACACACTAGAGTGGGTTACTCAGAACTTGCCGCGTGGGTGGGAACACAGGAGAATCACCCTGACTGGAAATCAAGTCCCCAGGGAATTTGCAGCTGGACTGGCCTACTCCTAAGAGCAGGGAACGGCTGAAATGGTCTTGGACCACAATGCAGCCCAACCAAAGCCTCTTATCCCTAGTGCTTTAGATGTTCCCTTTATCCCTTCCCAGTATCTCTCCTCAGCTTGCAGCTCCTCTGTGAAGATGAACCGACAGGAGTTAAACAGGGATAAGACCCTGAACTGTAAAGAAGTCAAATGCCCCAATACTATTCCTTTAATTTTTTTTAAAGATTTCTTCATTTTTATTACAAAGTAAGATATACAGAGAGCAAAGAGAGGAAGCTCTTCCGTCTGATGGTTCACTCCCCAAGTGACCACAACGGCTGGAGCTGAGCCAATCCGAAACCAGGAGCTCTTCCGGTCTCCCACACAGGTGCAGGATCCCAAGGCTTTCCCAGGCCACAGGCAGGGAGCAGGATGGGAAGCAGGGTCACAGGGATTAGAACCGGCCTCCATATGAGATCCTGGCACTTGCAAAGCTAGGACTTTAACCACTACGCTATTGTGTCGGGCCCAGTTCCTTTAATTTTTTAAATATTTGTTTCATTTTTTTCTTGGAAAGGCAGATAGTCAAGGAGAAAAAGGTACAGAGAGAAAGAACTTCCATCCACTGGTTTACACCCCAAGTGGCTGCAATGAGCAGATTCAAAGCCAGGAGCCAGAAGCTTCTTCTGGTCTACCATGTGGGTGCAGGGTCCCAAGGCTTTGAGCTGTCCCATACTGTTTTCCATGGACACAAGCAAGCAGTTGGATTGGAAATGAAGAAACTACAACATGATCCGGTGTCCACATGGGATGCTGAAACTAGAGGGCAGAGAATTAGCCTGTTGAGCCAACATGCCAGCCCCAAATAATTTTTTAAAGATTTATTTATTTATTGCAAAGTCAGATATACAGAGAGGAGGAGAGACAGAGAGGAAGATCTTCTGTCTGATGATTCACTCCCCAAGTGAGCGCAACGGCCAGTGCTGTGCTGATCTGAAGCCAGGAGCCAGGAACTTCTTCTGGGTATCCCACACGGGTGCAGGTTCCCAAAGCTTTGGGCCATCCTTGACTGCTTTTCCAGGTCACAAGCAGGGAGCTGGATAGGAAGTGGAGCTGCCAGGATTAGAACTGGTGCCCATATGGGATTCTGGTGCGTGCAAGGCGAGGACTTAAGCTGCTAGTCCACGCTGCCAGGCCCCCAAATAATTTTTGTTTTAAGAGTTTTTTTCAGGCCTAGCACGTTGGCCTAGTAGCTAATCCTTGCCTTGCATGTGCCGGGATCCCATATGGGTACTGGTTCTAATCCCAGCTAGTCTGCTTCCTTTCCAGCTACCTGCTTGTGGCTTGGGAAATCAGTACAGGAAGGGCCAAGGCCTTGGGACCCTGTACCCATGCAGGACACCTAGAGGAATCTCCTGGCTCCTGGCTTTCAAACTGGTTCAGCTCCTGGCATTATGGCAACTTGAGGAAAGAACAAGCATTCGAAAGATCTTTCTCTCTGTATATCTGCCTTTTCAATGACAAAGTAAATCTTTAAAAATTTATTTATTTATTTAAAGATTTATTTATTTTTATTGAAAAGGCAGATGTACAGAGAAGAGGAGAGATAGAGAGGAAGATCTTCCGTCCAATGATTCACTCCCCAAGTGAGCGCAACGGCCAGTGCTGTGCCAATCTGGAGCCAGGAGCCAGGAACTTCCTCCAGGTCTCCCACGCAGGTGCAGGATCCCAAGGCTTTGGACCGTCCTCAATTGCTTTCCCAGACCACAAGCAGGGAGCTGGATGGGAAATGGGGCTTCCAGGATTAGAATCGGTGCCCATATGGGATCCTGGCGCTTTCAAGCTGAGGACTTTAACCACTACACTATCGTGTCAGATCCAACAAAATAAATCTTTAAAAGAAGTTTTTCCCCCAGCTGTAGGCAAGTGCCTAGATTCCTTGTACCAAGGCAAGTGTTACACTGGGTAGAGAACAACCAGTAGCTGGCAGGCGTTCTGGGCCTGGTTGATTCCGCATTTGTGTTATACCAGTGTGCCAACATTGTTGCTTATTCCCATTATCTTTTGATTTTTTTTTTAAGGCATGTGGGGAAGGCAAGGAACATGAAGCCAAGACATGCCACCCTGGCTCCCAGGCTGGGGGACTGCAGATTGCCCAGGGAACAAGATCTAGAGGTCTGTTGGACTGGGAGTGGCTGTGGGCATGTTTCACAGGGGTGGGATGACTTCTGGGTCTTCCACGGGCTGAACCATTGCACTTGCAGGTAGACGAGGGAGCTGACACAGTGATTTAGAGGACAGAAACTGTAGGTCATGTCTGGGTCAGGCCAAGGCACCCAGCCACATGGGAGACCTGGGCTGGGCTAAACAGCATTGTCTGTGGCCCAATGGTACATGCAAAAGCTAGTACTGGGGGGCAACCCTGGCTGGGCTGGGCCAGAGTATCTGCCCATGAGTTTTGGAGCAGGGAGTGAGCCATGTCAGTCTGGGTCACAGCACCCACCAGAACAAGAAAGAATCAGAGGGGCCAGCCCCGCGGCCTAGCAGCTAATGTCCTCACCTTGAACATGCTGGGATCCCATATCAGCACCAGTTGTAATCCTGGCAGCCCCGCTTCCCATCCAGCTCCCTGCTTGTGGCCTGGGAAAGCAATTGAGGCTGGCCCAAAGCCTTGGGACCCTGCACCCATGTAGGAGACTCAGAAGAGGATCTGGGTTCCTGGCTTCGGATCAGCTCAGCTCCAGCCGTTGTGGTAACTTGGGGAGTGAATCATCGGACAGAGCATATATTTCTCTGTCCTCCTCTCTGTATATATCTGACTTTGCAATAAAAATAAATACATCTTAAAAAAATAAAGAAAGAGCCAGATATGAGGTTAGATTCTATAGGGGGATTTGTGGGATACCGGAAGAAGTTCCTGGCTCCTGGCTCGGATCGGCATAGCACTGGCCGTTGCGTTCACTTGGGAGTGAATCATCAGACAGAAGATCTTCCTCTCTGTATATCTGACTTTGCAATAAAAATAAATCTTAAAAAAAAAGACCCACATGGACATACATCCATCTCAACTATGTAAACAATATATTTTATTATATATATTTATTATATAATATATAATTATATATATATATTTATTTATTTATTATTGGAAACCCAGATTAACAGAGAGGAGCCACAGAAAGATCTTCCATCAACTGATTTACTCCCAAGTGGCTGAAATGGTTGGAGCTGGGCCAATGTGAAACCAGGAGCTTCTTCAGGGTCTCCCATGCAGGTGCAGGGTACCAAGGCTTTGGACCATTCTCTATGGCTTTCCTAGGCCACAAACAGGAAGCTGGATGGAAAGTGAAGCAGACAGGATACACACCAGCACTCATATGAGATCCTGGCCTTTGTAAGACAGGACTTTAGCCACTAGGCTACCATGCCTGGCCCCTAAAAAATATTAAAAATAAAAAATATATATATATTTGAAAGGCAGAGGGGACCGAGATTTTCCATGTAGCTGGTTGTGGAGCAGCAGATTAAGTTGCAGTATATAACACTGGCATCCTATATGGGCACCGATTTGAGTCTCAGCTTCTCAACTTCCTATCTAGCTACCTGCTAATGCAGAAGACAGCACAAATACTTGGGCTCCTGCTGTCCACCCAGGAGACCTGAATGGAGTTCCTGGCTTCGGCCAGCCCCAGTCATTGGGTCCACTTGGGGTGTAAACCAATGAAGAGAAGATCTGCCCTTTCTGCCCCTCCAACCCGTTCCTTCAAATAAATCATAATTAAATCTAAAGAACAGGGGGGTGGGGTCTGCATGATGGTTCAATGGCTAATTTCTCATGTTGAAAAGTGCCAGGATCTCATATGTGCAGCAGTTCATGTCCTTGCTGTTCCATTTCCCATCTAGCTCCCTGCTTATGGCCTGGGAAAGCAGTAAAGAATGATTCAAAGCCTTGGGACTCTGCACCTGCACGGGAGACCCAGAAGTAGTTCCTGGCTTCAGATCAGCTTAGGTCTGGCCTTTGTGGCCATTTGGGGAGTAAACCAGCAGATGAAAGATCTCTCCTTTTCTTTGTAAATCTGATCTGCCTTTCCAATAAAAACAAATCTTTTCTTAAAAAGGTGAAGGAAATGAACAGACAATTTTCAAAGGAACAAATTCAAGTGGCTAATACATATATCACACATAATACATATTAATATATAATGTATCATATATATTATCTATATGAAAAAATACTCAGGCTCTCTGTCAGGAAGATACAAGTGAAAGCCACATGGAGGTTCCACCTAACTCCAGGGAGATTGACCTACATTCAGAACTCTACTAACAACACCTGCTAGTGTGGCTGCGGGGAGATCCCTCCTGCACTGCTGGTGGGAATGTAGGCTAGTACAACCACAGTGGAAGTCAGTATGGAGAGTGCTGAGAGAACTGAAAATAAACCTGCCATATGACCCAGCTATTCCAATTCTACGGATATATCCAAAGGAAATGAGATCTGCATATGAAAAAGGATCTGTAATCCTATATTTACAGCAGCACAATCTGCAATAACAAAGACATGGAAACAATCCAGATGCTCATCAAAAAAGGAGTGGAGAACTTGGGCAGAACCCTTGGAATATGTTCACATTGAGACCCTGGGTTGATATGAGATGGCGGTTCCTCATCCCTGGGTACTGGGATGGATGTGTGGAAAGTCAGGAGTGGCTTCCCCCTTTATCTCTACCCTTTCCCAAGAAACAACAAGAAGAAATAGCAAATTCTGAAGCAATGAGTTCACTCAATTTTCCCTAAACTTCAATCCTGCCCACCCTTATCAACCATGTAATCACTATTAAAGGAAAAAAAAAAAAAAGAAAGTAAAAGAAAAAAAGAGGAGTGGATAAAGAAACTTTTAAATTTCTTTGACACATTGGTCACTCAGTAGCATATTATTAACTTCATAATTTTTTTATGAACTGCATTTATTTTTTTTAAGATTTATTTATTTTTATTGGGAAGGCAGATATACAGAGAGGAGGAGAGACAGAGAGGAAGATCTTCCAATCCGATGATTCACTCCCCAAGTGAACACAACGGCTGGTGCTGTGCCGATCCAGAGCCAGGAGCCAGGAACTTCCTCCAGGTCTCCCACGCAGGTGCAGGATCCCAAAGCATTGGGCCATCCTCCACTGCTTTCCCAGACCACAAGCAGGGAGCTGGATGGGAAGTGGAGCTGTCAGGATTAGAACCAGCACCCATATGGGATCCTGGTGTGTTCAAGGCAAGGACTTTAGCTGCTAGGCCACGCCACCGGGCCCAGTTGCATTTATTTTTTTTTTTTTAAGATTTATTTTTTTTTATTTTTATTGGAAAGGCGGATATACAGAGAGGAGAGACAGAGAGGAAGATCTTCCGTCCAATGGATCACTCCCCAAGTGAGCGTAATGGCCAATGCTATGCCAATCCAAAGCCAGGAGCCTCTTCTGGGTCTCCCACGCGGGCGCAGGGTCCCAAAGCTTTGGGCCGTCCTGGACTGCCTTCCCGGGCCACAGGCAGGGAGCTGGATGGGAAGCGGGGCCGCCGGGATAAGAACCGGCGCCCATATGGGATCCCGGGCATGCAAGGCGAGGACCTTAACCACTGCGCCATCGCGCTGGGCCCTGCATTTATTCTTGATGATAATTGATTAGGGTGATAAGGGTCAAGGGCTACAGGAAGGTGGGTGAGATCACCATTTCCACATTCTTCCTTTTTTCTTCCTGTATCCAGGGGGAGTGAGGGAGGACAAACAGAGCAGCCACAACCAGCCTCCCAAACACCTCTGCACCCTGGGATGGAGGACACTCACCTGACAGCACCCCTGGGTCCCCATGTGGAGCATGCTCTGAGGATCCTGCTCAAGAGGTTTCAATAATTCAACAGTTCTGAGTTACTGCCAATCTCGTCACTCCAAGCACGATGAAATCAACTCCATAATGTTGTAAAAAAAAATTTTTTTAAGTTTACTCCTGTTGTTGATTAAAAACAAAAAAAGTGAAGCCGCTGGGCCTTAAGCCAGCACCCAGATAGGATGCCAGCTTTGTGGGCAGCAGCTTAACATCTCAACATCAGCTCCACCAGCCTGTCCTCTGAGAACTTTTGCAGGAAAGGCGACTATTCTGCTGTGACTGGTTTAAGTTGTGTACATTGTTGAAATATTGGACAGTATGTCATGAAGATGTGCAAGTATTACATGGTAATCACAAATTTTAAACAAGGAAATAATTTTCAAAGTATGTTGATTTACCAATGTCTACTAACCGTGAAGGGTGTTTTAATTCCATCAGGTTGAACTGCAAAGGATTCCAAGAGATGAGAGCTTTTCTTCAGGTCTGCCAAGAGGCTGATTGAACATCTTTTTCCACCTCGCCATTGAAATCCTTCTCTGAACCACACAGACCCCAGCCGAGGACAGTAGTACCTCATCGACCTTTTTTTTTGAAAGTCAAACAGAGAATAGGAGAGACAAAGAGGAAGATCTTCCATCTGCTGATTCACTCCTCAAATGATTCTAACAGCTAAAGCTGAGAGGAACTGAATCCAAGAAACTGGAGCCTTCTCTGGGCTTCCCACGCAGGTGCAGGGTCTCGAGCTTTGGGCCGTCCTCGACTGCTTTCCCGGGCCACAAGCAGGGAGCTGGATGGGAAGTGGAGCCGCTGAGACAGGAACTAGTACCCATACGGATCCCAGTGTGTGCAAGGTGTGGACTTCAGCCATTAAGCTACCTCACTCGGCCCCTTGTCTACCCTTTGGCCTGGACAGACTGAAGCCTATTTTTGACATTCCGAAGGAAATATGCCTGCCCCTAGCACTGGCCAATCAAAGGAAAGCTGGTAGCCTGCGCATTAGCCTAGTGGCTAAAATCCTCGCCTTGCACACGCCAGAATCCCATATGGGTTCTAATCCCAGCTGCTTCACTTTCCATCCAGCTCCCTGCCTGTGGCCTGGGAAAGCAGTTGAGGACGGCCCAAAACCTTGGGACCCTGCACCTGGGTGGGAGACCTTGAAAGAAGCTCCTGGCTTTGGATCAACTCATCTCTGGCCATTGCTGCGACTTGGGAAGTGAACCAGTGGATGGAAGATATGTCTGTACCTCTTTCTCTGTATATCTGCCTTTCCATTAAAAAACAAATCTTTTTAAAAAGAAAAAAGAAAGAAAGCTATGTGACCTGTGGACCAAGCAGAGGCCCGTCACGAGCTGATGGTTTTTGGTGCATCCCTGATTTTGAAAACTGTCAGACTTACTGCTTTCACTTTGTCAGGGAGTCCTGGTCTGATCATGCGCTGCCTGCCTCCCTGCTCTGTACTTTGCAATAAACGCCTGCTCTTTATCCACCGCGTTAGTTGTCAGTGATTAGTTAGCTCCATGTTGGGCAGGCAAACCGCTTTGTGATTCTACAGCAACTCCTCCAAGCCGTTTTGAGGATGATGTTTGCTAGCAGAACCAGGAGCCCAGAGCATGTGAAAAATAAGAAACCAGGAGCTCACTCACAGATTATTAGTCCAGCCCTGGGTCTTCTGTCCTTGTGCCATCTCCCAAGTATCAACCTAAGACTGTGGGGAGGAAAATGGCCCAGGGTTGCCCAAACAAAAACCAGACCCAGTGACGCAGGCTCTTGAGATTCACATCTCCACCTGGGTAACCCAGACCTGGGGGCGTGGGGTGGCGGGCGGTTACTGACAGGAGAGCTTGTGACTTCCCAATAACCAAGACTGTGTGTGCCCAAATATTCCAGAACTGGGGAGGAAGGTTTCTAAGATCACAACGGAAGACTGGACGACTTGATCATGGTCTGGGCATCACTCTTCCCGTCCCTTCCATCTCACTTCCCAGTGAGTCACCATAACAAGTAAGGACCCTGCACCTGTGTGGGAGAATCAGAGGAGGTTCCTAGCTTCTGGTTTCTTCCAGATCTCCCACACAGATGCAGAATCCCAAGGCCTTGGGCCCATCCTCTATTGCTGTTCCAGGCCAGGCCACAAACAGAGAGCTGGACAGGAAGTGGAGCAGCCAGGACACGAACTGGCACCCATATGGGATCCTGGTACATGCAAGACGAGGACTTTAGCCACTAGGCTATAGCACTGGGCCCAAAAATAAATAAATCTTAAAAAAAAACCTAAGTTCCTTGGATTATGGAGGAACTTAAAAAAATTTTCCTTGTCACCTGTTTTCAACATTTTGAAGACTCTGAAACATCATTAACAAAATAGCATTTTCTCAATGAAGCCTTGCTCTCCAATACCAAAGACAAGGAATGCTCTTTGTAGCTATAGAGCACTTGAAATGCAAATCAGACTAAGGAGTTAGAGATTTTTAAATTTTTACTTGTCTTTTGTTATTATTTGAAAGGTAGAGCACCAAATCTTTCACCTGATACTTTAAGCAATAGCCAGGACTTAAGCAAGACAAAAGCTACCACCCCAGAACTCAAGTCAGGTGTCCCACAAGGGTGACAGGGACCCACTGTCTGAGCCATCATATGTTGCCTCCCAGGGTCTGTATTAGCAGGCAGCTGGAATGGAAAGCAGAGCTGGGGGGACTGGAATGCAGTTTGCTATGGATCTGGGCATCCCGCACAGCACTTTAACCGTCACACCAAACACCACCCCCTTGACTTTTAAATCTTAGATAAGTTGAATTTACTTTTGTAATAGGCACATTTGGCTGGTGGTTACCGCAAGTCCAAGAGTCTGAGGGTAATGGGCTCAGTGAGAGAGCCCTGGGGGAGGGGTCGCCCTCCTTGGACACTGAGCGTAGCCAGTGTAAGAGCTGGAGTTGGGGTCCTTTGGTGCGCGCGCGCGCGCGCACACACACACACACACACACACACACACACACACACACCTTTCATCTTTTTATTCCAGATGTACTTTTGACCCCTCCTTGTCCAAGGTCCTCATCACATTCTGATAGCCCCACTCCTTGACTGTCTCCCCCGAGTTGCTGGGTACCTCTTGGTAAAGGCGTCTGGGAGCTAGCGCTTCACACTTGTCCCTGCCCACTGCTAACTGTCTCTGGCGGGCATCGAAGACCACATGGCCGGTCCGGGTACCTGGGCCAGGGCAGTGGGGCTTCCAGTTGATTTTAGGAGGCATAGACATCTGGCGATAGTTCTGGCAGGCCGAAGGCACCGAGTCCGTGGGGCGGTACCCCCAGTCTTGGCTGCCCACCCGCCGGGAGGATGACTGAAGCTCAATTAGAACGGGGACCTCTGAGAAGGTCTGTAGGTCGGAGGCAGCCAGCTGGCTTCTGGAAGGACAGGGGGGTTGGTTGATTGGAACAGAAGTCCAGGCTATGTGCTGCTCTGCATTTTCCTGTGGCGCCTTCTCAGACACAAACGACTTCCTCGGGGGGAGGGCTGCTTTGGGGGTCTGAGATGCATCCGCATCTCGGACCAATTCAGGGCCCCGAGATGCTCTCCGGTTCTTGAGAAGGCCAGGATCTGGGGTAAAGCTTATGGCCTGGGGGAGGCCAGATTCCTGGGTCAAGTTTGGCATCTGGGAGATGACTGAGTCTTGGGGGAGGAGTGGGGTCTTCTGGGAACCATGCTCTTGTTTAACTCTTGGTCCCTTGTGGAGGTTAGAACCATGGCTGTGTTCTGGGCTCCTGTAAACTCCAGAATCTTGGGTCAGGTTAGGTCTTCTTTCAACTTCAGCTGCTTGTGTAAGATCTGGATTCTTACCATGTTCTGAATCTTCTGAAGGACCCTGGTCCCTCTGGACTGCAGAGTCTTGGGTGAGGCCTGAATTCTTATAATCTCCCGAGTCTTGTGTTAGGCCTAGGCCCTTTTGGAGACCAGAGGTTTGGGCAAGGCTTGGGCCTTTGAGGATACCAGCTGGCTGGGAGTGTCTTGAGGATTTGCTGACTTCGGGGACTTGGGTATGATATGAACCCCTCTTCTGTGGTCTGGGATCTTGACTAAGGCCTAGGCACCTGTGGACATCTGGATTATTTTGAACATGTCCTGGATTCTTAAAGCTTCCAGGGATTTGAGACGTGCCTGGGCTCTTCCGGGGGTCCATTGCTTGGGAGAGATCTTGACCTTGGCCGATGACCATGTCTTGATTTAGTTCTTGGTATCTGGAGGCTCCAGAGTCTGGCATAAAAGCTGTACCCGGAAGATCAGACGATTGGGATAGTGTCTGGGTCTTAGAGGTTTGGATAAGACCTGGGTTTCTAAAGGCATGAGTCTGTTGAGTGGGACCCAGGTTGTTTTGGGGGCCAGAATATTGGTTAATTCCTGGGTTTTGGGCAAGCCCAGTGTCTTGGGAAGCATTTGAATTAGAACAGAGATAAGGGTCTTGAGAAAGGCCTGGGAACTTGGGGAGACCCAGATCTCGAGCCAGACCTGGATTCTGCTTGTGGAGTCCAAGATTCTGGGAAGAAGACAGAAAACTTGACTTCTTGGGAACTCTTGAGTCCTTTGAAGGGCTTGAGGTCACTTGGAGGCCAGAGTCTTGGCTGAGGCCTAGATTCTCCTGAAGTTCAGGTTGTTGGGATCGTAGAAGAGGTTGAGAAGCAGCAGTGGAGAACTGGGGAGGGCTAGGGAACTGGGAAGGTGGGATTGACTGAGGTGGTTTGGTGTGGGTTTGTAATGGGGCAGAGGGCTTCTGATGGTTGGTTGCAACCACAAAGGTTCTGGGAGGAACAAGCGGCAGGGAAAGCGTGCATGGTGGAGGAAAGGCAGACAGCGAATTCTGAGTGGCTGTTGGAGAATGGAGACAAGGTTTAAGGGGTACAGCGTCCTGTGAGTAAACCAGGAACTTGGGGTAGACAGGGAGCTGGGAATTCCTCCTCTCTGAATCGCAAGGATGGAAACTGCAGTAAGAGAAGGTCTTAGACTGGAAGAATTTGTCCCTGGTATCTTCTGGAACCTTCAATTCCATGTTCCCCAATTCCAGGTAGCCCAGGATGGGTCCTGAAGAAGGTGTGGCACCATCCCCATCAGGTGGCTTTAATGCTGGTTCAGAGATCTCAGAACTCACCAGGCCCTGCCCATCTTGGGGCCTGGAGTGGACAGCCTCATCTTTTCTAGAACACCCGGAGTTTTGGGGAATGTACATCTGAAAGATGCTCTGCTTCATTCTGCGGGCATCGTAGACTACATGGCCAGTGGAGAGGCCTTGGGTGAAGGCAGGCAGGGCAGAGGGGAGAGGATTTGAGAGAGGAGCAGGGGTGGTGGCTGGGACAGGAGCAGAGATTGCAGGGGTCGTCACAGCCATGACCAGTGACGGAGCAGAGACTGGGTCACCAGCCTGGGCAGGCACTGGCTGTGGAGGGGCAGGAACAGGAGTTGTGACTGGGGCGAACTTGGAGGCAATGGCTGAAGTGGAGACTGGGGCAGAGACCTGAGTGTGGTTGTGCATCTGGACTGATGGAGAATGGGCTATAGTGGAGGCTGGGGCCGGGGCTGGTGAGTGCTCAGGGCCATGGGCCTCCGACTGGGTCCAGTTCTGGGCTGAGGGCTGGGCTGGCTCGCGACCCTGACAGTGGACTGAGGCTCTTGCAGGGACCTTGATTGAAGACTGAAGAGAAGTGTGCTCTGGGCCATGGGCCTGGGAGTGGGTTCGCTGGGGGCTTTGGTCTGAGATGGAGGCCTGCACTTGGCTGGGGACCATAGTGTGGTGGGCTAGGTCCTGGACCATAGTGGAGGTTGAGGGATGCCTAGGGCCCTTGGCTGGATTAGGGGTTGGGGGAGGGGTCAAGGGAGGCGGCGGAACCTCAGCAGGGGTTTGGGCTGAAGGATGCTCCAGGCTCCGGTTCTGGGAATTGGTTGGCTCAGGGCCATGGGTGAGAGTGTGGGTCTGCATGTGGGCAGGGGTGTTGGCTGCAGAGTGGGACTGGGCCTGGGCAGGGGCGTGTGCCTTAGTCTTGCTCTCATGAGGCAAGCGGAGTGGCACGGCAGCATCCACCTTGCTGCCTGTCTTCAGGAACTGAGGAAATGACCCTGGCTTGGACAGCAAGGAGGCCTGGGCCTTCAAAGCCACAGCCTGGGGTGCTTCGGTGGCTCCCAGCATCCCCTCCTTCCACGGTCCCCATGGAACCTCGGCGGGAGCCCCGGCATGGCCACAGGGAGATGACATCCATAACCGAGAAGGCTTGGCATCATTTGTGTCCGGTGTCCAAGAGTCGGGGTGTTGGTTGTGCTCCAGCAGGAAGCTCGAGCGCCGATGAAAGCGGGATGATACTCTTGAGTACAGGGTCTTGGGATCTACGGAGCAGCGCAGGCACACAGGGTGGCTGCTGGTACTGCTGGGCTGCTTCTCTGCAGGTAGGGATGAGAAGGGGCACAACCCCGGGGAGGAGGGTGCTCCCTGAGCAACCGAGGAGCAAGAGGGATGGGGTGGGGGAGCAGGGAGACCAAAAAGCAGGGAGGGGGTAGGCCTGTTCCCCAAGGAGTCCCCTATCACGCCCGTATGCACACTCACCTTTGGGAAAGAAATGATGGAAAAGAATCCGTAAGGAGCTTTTGAGATGCTTCCAGAGCTGAGGGGTGTACAGGAAGGGAGGTGTCCAAAAGGAGGGTGAGCCCCCCAAAGCCCAGCCCTTGGCTGGCCATAGCCCAGCAGGCCCTCCCACCTCAGCATGGCCAAACTCCAAAGCTTGCTCACCATCCCACCCCCCACACCCTTACAGCCCAAATCCCCCCTGCTCTGACCAGTGTCACCACGTTGATCCCCACGTTGAGCAAGATGAAGCTGCCCAGAATCAGCAGGATGGAGTCCCCTAAGTCCTGGCATCTCCTGGGGTTGGTACCAGAACACGCTTGGGCTCCATGGTGGGCTCGTTCACCCATGGCCTGGGGTCCCCAGGGCTACCTGGGCCCCATGGCCCCCACATACTCTCTAGGAGCCAGACTCCTGTGGTGGGGGAGGGGCAGAAGGGCTGAGTCACAATGGGGCAGGTGCTTGGAGGTCACAATGAGGCAAGTGATTTGAAAGAGGAGGGCTCAGGGTGAAGTTCCCTGGTAACCAGCTGTAGTCCACTGGAGTCTGAACTGGCAGACCGCCGCCCAGAAGCCAGACTACCTCTCCAATCACTCTCTCCCTCGCTCCAGCATTCCTGCAGCTTCAGTGGGAATCCAGCACCTCTGCCCTTGCTGGAGCTTCAGGCCTGGGGCTGCATAGATGTGGCTGGATTCTGACCTCAGCATCTCCAGGGAGCCCCAGCCTCTGGGAGAGCCAGGCCACAGGGCCGGTTGGAGTCTGGGGCTGCGAAGCTATGTGGTGCATGCGCTGAGTGGCACCAGGAGGGGATCTCCCGTGCAGGGAGCTGAGAAGACACCCGTTTCTCATTCCAACGCTCCCAGGGTGGTGGGAAAAGTGGCAGTTCCAAACTACAGACTATCACAGTATTTCCTGGATCTGTATCTTTATTCCTCTCTTCACGTCCTGCCTCCCCCCCCCCCCAGCACCTGCCAGTGAGTGGGTCAGTTCACTTTCCCCACCCTGCTCCTGTGCAGAGAGGGCTTAGAGCCTGAGGTGGAAGGTGGTGGCAGCGAGTTGGCCCGTGCTCTGTTCTCCTGCACCTGCCGTTTCAACTCCAGGCTGTCATACACCTTGTAGCTGGCATTGCCCCCGGGATTCCGGCTGAGCGGGACGAATGTGGTAGCGGGTGGGATGGGGTCAGCGGCCTGCACTTCAGGCACCTGCTGGGAGCTGGCGGCTGGGGTCCGCTGGTAGGTAGTCTCGCCCAGCACCACGAGAGAAGTGGAGGTAGTGAGAGGGTGCCGGGCGGACGGAGCGTCAGCCCAGTCAGCTGCCCGACGGCGGACCTCGTGGGGGTCTCGGGAGACATGGCTCAGGTGACCCATGGAGGGGTGGGGGCTGCGGTTGGGCTGGTTGTAGGGGTGGCCAGAGTGGCTCCGCCCGTGCGACTGGGAGGCGTAGTGTTCCCGGTATCCCTGAGGTTCTGGCCGGGTGCCTCGGGACAGCAGGACAGGTGGGGGCTCCAAATTGTCCGCGTTTCGCCGCCGCTGCTGGTCCCAGCAGTCATACAGCATCTGGCCCCCCGAGTGGTAAGGGCTGTGACTCCCGGGGACCCAGGAAGGGTTGGGAGGCAGCCTGCGGGGCTGGGGTGGTGGAGATGGGGTACACTGCTCGGCCTCCACGTTGCCCCAAAGTCGGGACTGTGAACAGTGGGGCCCGAAGGATTGCAGCCTGAGCTCAGACTTGGCCTCCACACGTTTGGGCAGGCGGCGCAGCTCAGGGGACAAGTAGAGGGAGGGTGGCGGCAGGCTAGCCAGGATTCCGCCCTGGCGACCCCACAGCCCCATGTTGGACGGCAGGGCCATGCGCTGATAGAACCTGCCCCAGCCCCTCTGGGGGGACTTGGCATACGGGAAAGCCAGGCCCCCCTCCTCCTCCTCCGGGCAGGAGTCCTGGCCCTCCAGGTCAAAGAAGGGCTTTGTCCGCAGCTTTGGCACTCTATAGCCGGGCTGTTGGTTGCAGAAAATTTGGCGGCCACAGGGAAATCTTCGGGGGTTTTGTGGCTTCTGTTGGTGGCTGCAGGGGCGTATACCGCTGCCACGACGAAGGCCACGGCGGCGGCGGCGGCGGCGGCGGCGGCGGCGACTGCTGCAGCCTCTGTGGCTGTTGCCACGGTTGGGGCTGTCTCGATGATTGTGGAAGCGGTGGCAGGAAGAAGAGTAGGCTGTGGGCTGGGTCATCTTCACTTTTACAGGGTCCAGGGTACAGTGGATGTGGACATCCTGGGCCTTGGCTAGGGAGTCTTTGGGTGGACTTTCAATGGGTTGAACTTCATCTGGGGCCGGAAGGGAGGCAAGCATGGTCAGAAAATGCGGGGCTGGGTGCTGGGCATGGGTTTCTGGGGCCGCCATCCTTACCTTTCTGGTTAATCCAAGAGCACACCTTGTCCAGGATGTTCTGCAGTCCTTGCCACATCTGGGGACGGAGTAGGTTGGCAGTGAAAGCTCCACCTGGAAATTGTCCCTTCCCCTCCCACCGGGTTAGGTCCATCTCTGCAGGTGCATGCTATGGCCAGCTCTCACACACAGCCCTCTCCGCCCCCAGGGGTGGTCTCCAACCATCACTGACCACAGTAGTGATGTTGATGCTGATGTTGACAAGAATGATGAGGCCCAGCAGCACAAACAGGGTTTCCTCGGCATCCTGGCAGCCTGCTTGGTATTCGTTGGAGTACCCCGAATTGTCATACCATAACTGATTTTCCATAATGGTGGGGGGGGATCCTAGGGCCACCTGGGCCAGTCTCCCCCCCGCCCCCCCACCAGCCCCGACCCACACTGTGCTCATGCCAGTACCTGGAGTCATCTCCCAGCAGGTGAGAGAGCCAGGTCACAATGAGGCAAAGTAGGGAGAGTCACAATGCAGAGGGAGCAGCTCTCCTGCACTCCACTGCTCGCAGGGGGTTGCAGAGGGAGAGCAGCAGGGGTGGGGCACCATCCTATGTTTGCATAGTGGTCCATTCAGCAGAAGAACCAGTGAGTGGTTGCCACCAAACTCTCCAGCACAGCAGGGCTTCAAAGTGCATGTAGGGAAGAGAACTGAAAGTTTATTTTGTTAAATATTTTTGGGGGACCCAGCATGGTAGCCTATTGGCTAAAGTCCTGGCCTTGCATGTGCCAGCGTACCATCTGGGCACTGATTTGTATCCCAGCTGCTCCACTTCCCATCCAGCTCCCTGCTTGTGGCCTGGGGAAGCAGTAGAGGATGGGGCCAAAGCCTTGGGACCCTGCACCTGTGTGGGAGAGCCGGAAGCTGCTCCTGGCTCCTGGCTTGGCTCAGCTGTGCTCAGCTCTAGCCACTGCAGCCACTTGGGAAATGAACCAGAGGATACAAGATCTCTCTCTGTAAATATGACTTTCCAATTTAAAAAAAAAAAAAAGATTTAAAAATACTTTTGAAATCCATGTAGTTTTTTTTCATAATAATGCTTTTCCATGAAACTTTTAAGATTTTAAAGGCAGAGTTATAGAGAGAGATCTTCCATCCGCTGATTCTCTCCCCCAAATGTCCACAGTGGCTGGGGCTGGACCGATCAGAAACCCGGAGTCAGGAGTTTCTTCTGGGTCTACCGCAAAGGTGCAGGGGCCCAAGCACTTGGGCCATCCTCCACTGCTTCCCCAGGCACATTAGTAGATAGCTGAATCAGAGTGGAGCAGTCAGGACTTAAAACAACACCCAAATGGGATGCCAGTGTTGTGTATGGTGACTTAACCCTCTGTACCACAGCACCTATTCCTGCATTGATATGAACTTTTGGAGGACTCCTCAAAAACCCACTGGACAGAATCAGCTTAGAATGAGCAATAATGCTAGCTGAATGTAAGTTTGCAGAGAAGAGGGCAAGTCACACCAAGTCTGCAGGCTCACATTCCGGGATTTGCCTGGTGTGGAAGGTAGAGGCCAGTTCCCTTCACTGTGTGTGTGTGTGTGTGTGTGTGGCACGTCCACATGGAACCCTAGCCATCTAGGAAGGGAAGAGGCATGGGAGCCCCTACTGCCCAGTGGGATTGAGGAAGGTGGGGCAGTCTGGTGGGCCAAGCTGACTTGCTGGCAACAGATATTTAACTGAAGGAGCAAGGGCATGGCGTGTCGATGTTCTTGACTTTGACCCTTGATGTCTTTATAACCATGAGCAAGTCCTTCAGCCTCCCTGAACCGCACTCTTTGTGACAGGGTGGATTGATCAGAGGTCACAGAGTGCTTGTGATGTTATGGTGAAGCAGTCCTTGAGTGTCCCCTATATTTCCTTGGGTGTCCCCCATAATTCCATGCCTACCTGAGGGTAGGAAGCTCCAGGTAAAAGCAAACCCCTAGTCCCCAAGAGCCAGGCCTCTGAGGAGCAAGGGCCATGGGGATGGGATCTCTTCTCTGGGGCCCAGGGATCCGGGGCCAGAGGAGGGAACACATAAAAGGGCCAAGATAGGTGGGAAGCTTGGTACCAAGAAGGGCCTGTGACAGAACCGAGGACAGGCCTTGCAAAGCCAAGAGATTGATGAGGGTCCTCAGGGGCCCTCTAGGTCTGTTGCTAGGGAAGTCATTTTCTTAGCAACCAGGGCTCTAGATGCCACCCACCCCCCACCCCACACCACTACCACAGTCACCTGTCTCCTGTTTATTTTTATCCCCAATTCACCTGCCAGCCAGGGAACGATACACCCAATCTTTACTTGTCCCCTCAGCAGTGCTAGATCCGGAGGCTATGGGGTAACAGCGGGACAGGGCCTCCACCTCCCGTGTCAGTTCCCGAAGCCTCCGCCTCACATCCCGGGCATCATAAACTATTCGGACTGAGGAGCGGCGCCGGGGAAATTCGGGGACGATAGCTGGGCCCAGGACGGGTGGCAGGGCTGGCTGGGGCTGACACTGAGCAGGCTCAGTCTCGGCCACGGCCCCTGCTCCCCCAGTGTTCTTATGGCACGGGGCCTCGGGACTGGGAGGCGGGGGGTTGACGGGGTACACGTAGGCCTCCAGGCCCAGTTCTGAATGGAAGTCCGTCTTGTTGGGCCTTCCCTCCACGTTGGACTGGAAGCGGATGGTGGTGGGGGTTGGCTCCAGGGTATCTTGCATCCAGGGAGCCCAGATCCCTTGTACAGATTGGCAAGTTTCCCAGTTCTTGGGGCCGTCACAGTGGTGGGCGCAGACTGCTGGGTGCTGAGGGGAGGGTTTCTCATCGTCATCCGTGTCAGGGGCCCAAACGATGGGACGCTGCGCCCGCTGTGATAGAGAGCCTCGGTGGCGATGGCGGCGGACAGGCGGAGGGGTCACGGTCATCTTCACAGGGTCCATGGTACATCGCAGGCGGACTTCAGGGATGCACTGCTTCTTAAGGGACTGGGTCTGCTTCTCAGGCGGCGGGGCTGGTTTAGGGGCTTCTGTGGAGTGACAAAGAGGCTGGTGGAGGCTGGCTTTCACAGGGTGGGAGGGGAGGCAGAGTTGAGAGATGGAAGCCACCCAGCTGCAGGTCTGGGGTCAGAGGGAAGCCAGAAGGGAAAGAGGCCGGCCTTGGCCACAGCTAGGTCTGCTTCCTGTCCCCTCTTTCTGCTTACCTTTCTCACAGAAGGCACAGAAGACTCGGGATAAGATGACTCGGAATCGGCTCCAGAGCTAGGTAGGGGAGAACACAGTGACCCCCTCCTCCCAGGAAAGATGGCCCCCCAGGTCCCAGCCATTCTCCCTCCTCCCCCCAGCATTGTCTGTCATCCTGCTTGGCCTTGCCCTGACCAAGGTCACCATGTTGATGCCAATGTTGATGCAGATGATAAGGCCCAAGAGCAAAAGGATGGAGTTGCCCACGTCCTGGCAGTTGTTGTTGTGCTGGTGGTAGGCAGGGTAGTAGTGATAGGAGGCCCACCCAGGCCGTGGGCGCTGAGCCATGGCCATGGCTGTTCCCAGGGCCACCGGGGCCCTTAGGCCCAGCCCACTGTGCCCACGGGGTCCACCAGCCTGCCCGCCTGATCTGGAGTCTCCTGACAGGGAGGGCAGTGGGAAGAGGTGAGTCACAATTGCCCTAGGGCTAAGCTCTCACAATGTGTCCAGGGCCTGTGGCTGCAATGGCCCAGGCCTCACCAAACAACCCACATATAGGTCCTCTGGCCTGGGTGTGCCTGCCCACCCATCCCTGCCCCTCCATTTAGTATTGCCACCGTGACTTCAGTCTGCCCTGACCTTTACTCTGCAGACAGTCCCATTGCTATAGCAACCCCATCCCAACACCCACCACCCCTCCCTCTCTGATCTCAGAACTTGCTCAAAAGGAAGAGCTGGGGATGCTGACACCCCTCTTCCCTCATCAGTCCCTTCTCCAAGACACTCCACCCCCCATCGGCATCACAGCAGGCATAACCAACAGTTAAACTTTTTATATTTACAATATTCTCTTCATCTTTTGCCAGGTTTAAAAATGTGTACAGAGCCGCAAAGGGGTGGGGGTAGGGAATCGGGGGCAGGGGGTTTGTCGACGGGGCCAGGGGAGGTTGTTCTCGGGGAGAGGGGCTGGGATTTGGAGTCCGTGGCTGAATCGTGGGTTCCCCCAGCCCCCCTCCCAGGCCCCCCCGATGCTGAGGCATCTGTCTACAGGGGTCAGGGCCCAGGTCACTAGCATTGGGAGGGCTTGGCTGCTTAGAGAACAGCTAGGCCAGGCAAGGGACAGGGGGAGAAAAAAACTAGGTTCCCATGGGTGGGGCTGGGAGGGGAAGAGACAGTCAAAGGCTAAGTTCTGGGGGACTCAAGAGCAGGGACTCTGGAGTGGGGTGTCAGTGGGACGCAGCGCCTGCCCCCTCCTCCGGTTTGGCACAAACATCTCAGGAGCTGGCAGCAGAGTTGTCTCCCTGCTGTAATGTTTCTTTAACCCTTCTGTAACCCCTTCCTTTCTCCAGAGGTGCCACCTCAAGGCCCTCAGGCTGGTAGCTCACTCATTTCCTTTCACCTTCTTCCTGCTGGTGTCTGCCCCAGGCCCGGCCCCAACAACCCCTTCCATCTGTTCTCTGAGCAGCTGACCTCATTCTCTGCCCAGCCAGGCCAGGCCGCCTCTCTGGCTCCGTTCCTTCAGCCCTGGGGGCATCCGAGGCAGGGGGCAGGTCACAGAAGGGGGTGGTCTGCTGAGAGGCAGGAGATGGGGTTGGGGGACAGGGAGAGGGCTAAGCAGAGTTGCAGCAAGAGGAGGGGAGGTAGAGGGAGGGATGACTCAGGGTGGGGGGAAAGAGACACAGGTGGATGCCCCCTTAGCTGCTATACCCCACCTTCTGATTCAGTTCAGGGATTTTAGCAGGTCCTTGGCACATCTTGGGGGGGAGTCTTATTTCCTTCAGCCCACCTCCATAGTTTGGCACAAGAGGAGCCTTCAGCTCCCAAAGCAGGGCTCTGGTCAAACATGCACAACCACGAACAGCCTTGGGTGTGGCCCAGGCTACGCACCCCATCACCACCGCCCCAGTTCACATCTCCCCAGAAAGGAGAGCCTGAGGCTTCCCTCAGGGTCTGTCCACTTGTCCCTCCCAGTCCCTAAACCCCAATTTGAAGTTTGCTCCACCTGCAGTGTGAGGAAGGATCAAGTGTGAGGAGCGGGTGGGGTGGGGGGGGAAGGCAGGGCGGTGCTGGGGAGAGCGGGGACCCTCTGCCTGGGAGAACACACATCCGCATGCAAGAACATGTTTCCACTGTGTCTCAGACTGGCCTGGGGTGGGGGTGGGGGTAACTGATTTTCTGAGAGGTCCTGTGCTGGGTGGCCTAGGGCTCCCCCTCTCTTCCGCCTCTGCCCCCCCAGCCCAGCAGATGTGTCTGTCCACTGCCCATAGTCAGGGCCTCCCCAGGAGAGAACAGGCTGCTTCTGACTTGTGCCACGGCGTTGGGGAGGGGGAGGAGAGAATCATGCTTTGCTGGGGGCTGGGGTGGACTGTAATTTCCTCGATGCTTCCCAGGTACCACCCTGTGTTGGCTGGTGGCTTCCAGGGTCACCGCGTGTGAACACATCACTTCCAAGGGTTTCCAGGGGCTGGGGTGGAAGAGCTGGGTGGGATGGGAAGAGATGGGACAAGGCATGTGGGATCGAGATTCTGGGGGTACAAATCCCCGCGGGGGTTCCTTGAGGGGGGCCAACATGTGTCCAGGGCGGCACAAAAAACCTCACCCTGCACATGGGAAAACGCCCACCTCGTGAGACGCCTCCACGTTTCTAGGCACCCAAGACTGGCGTCCCTTTGGAGGAGGGGGACATGACCCCCCTCTCAGGTGTTCTAAGGCCCAGATCCAGGGAGGAGTTTGGGCCTCTCAGCGTGGGAAAAACGCATCCACGAGAGATGCTGCTGCGTCCACCTCCATGCTGCTCCACGGCGCGGCGACGCAGGACGGCTCCGTAGGCGGCGGGGCCTGGAGCCAAGTCCTTCTCCCTGCCTTTGGGGGTGGCCTGGGCTGGGCTGGGGAGAGCTGGGGAGGGGAGGACCTCCCCAAGCCGCCCCCTATACCCGAGTCGTGGAATGGGGGTGGGGTAGCGTGTTGTTGTGGCTGGTAGCGGTGGGGGGAGGTGGCGGGAAGGGCCCAAAGGGGTGGAGGGAAGGGGGTGGCGGGGGTGGGGGTGGCCCCAGGCCACTGGGCAGCAGGGTCAGGGCCCCGGGGGCCAGGAGAGGCACATCGTCCGGTGCCCGGCGCAGGGCTAGGGTGTAGTCAGGCGGGCAGGCGGGGCGCAGAGCCTCAGCAGGGTCCGCCCCGACACCGCCACCTCGCTTGAGCTGCAGTGACACCAGCTCCTCCTCCGGGGGCAGCTCCCGGCCGGCAGCGGGGAGCAAGGAGCCCCCGCCAGGCACTCCGGATCCGGAGCCCCCAGGCGGGCTAAGCCGCCGGCACCGCAGCTCCTGTCGCCGGTCCCGCTTGTAGTAGAGGGCGGCAAAGGCAAGGATGTTGAGAAACAGGAGCGAGGCGCCCACGGCCACGGTAACACTGAGCTCGGTAGAGTAGTCCCGGGAGTCCCCAGGGAAGCGGTCGTAAGCCCTGGGGCCTGGCTCGGGCTCCGGCTCTGGTGGCAGGGTGGCAGGTGGCGGGGGCCGGCGTGTGCCTGGGGCACCGTTGGGTGGCCGGGGTGGCCAGCGCGTGGCATAGGGAGGCAGGCGCGTGGTGGTGGTGAAGAGCTCCGTGTGCAGGTTGTGCAGGTGGGGCACAAGCTCCAACCAGAAGGCCACCTTGTTGGCTCGGTAGTTGTCACGCACACGGGGCTTCAAGCCGATGTGCAGGTACTGCTTCTCCTTGCTATTGAACTTGCTCCACACCACCTCCTCAAAGCGGTTAGGCTTGGTGTGGATGAACTTGGTGTCCTGGGGCACCGGCTGGTTGGGGTCTCTGTGGGCACAGGAGAGGGCAGGGTAAGAAGAAGTGAGAACGCAGGGTGTTGGGGGGATACGTAGAGGGAGAAACTCAGAGAGATAGCAGGAAAGCCAGAGACAAACTGGAGAAAGGACAGTCTGAGATGAATGTGAAGAAACTGGGATGGAGACAGCCAAGAAAGACACAGAGAGCTGAGACGGAGCAAGACAGAGATGCAGCGGATACAGCCTGGGGTGGAGAGAGAGCCCAGAGCAACACCTGCCAGCAGCCAGACAGCAGCAAATGAACAGGTGCAGGAGCAGAGAGAGAGAGGCAGACGCTACCATTGAGCCTCCTTAGACACACATATGCACCAGCGCATACACACACAGGAGCAGTGAGATGGGCAGCAGTCAGGTGGGAATGAATAATGGACATTAAGTCGAAGTCCCCGAGCCAGCCCACCCTCAGAATGGTGCTCAGCTCCTCAGTCTGACTCTGCCAAAACTCCCACACTCAGCTCAGCGCCTGCCATAGGAAAGGCCATTCAGCAGGTGTCTGAGCGAGAAGGGAAGGCGAGAGCAAGCGTCATGAGTGATGGCCCAGTGGAGGAGGAAGTCGGGGGTGGGAAGCAGGAGAGGGAACCAGCTGAGGCTGGACAGAGAGTATCCCGCCTGGCACCTGTGGCCCTCACCCGGTCTTGGCAAAGTTGGTCCAGTAGGTCATGACCACGGCGCTGAGCATGACGTCATTCTTAGAGAAGTTGCAGGGGAAGAGGTCAGTGGCGCCCACCATGGGTACACCGAAGACATAGGGGAGCTCGTCCCCATGCGCCGCGTCCGCCCACTCAGGCCGGCCCTCGGCCTGGCAGTGGTGATAGAAAGTGTAAAAGTAGACAGGGGACTGGTAATCGGCGTGCAGCTTGGCTGTGGCCACGGCCGGGGCCACCCACTGGTGGTCAGTAAAGAGCGCCAGCAGAGTCTTCCGCCGCATCTCGCCATTGTCCCGGTCGGCCCAGTCCGTGTACATGAACTTGATGGTCTCCCGTAGCACATCTTTGCCCTCTGGGTAACCATACAAATTGTCCACGAAGTTGGAGACGGTGAAATCGAAAGCGCTGGCAGACACGCCGTCCTCACTCTCTGCTGAGTCTTCCACAAACTTGAGGCCTTCTCCCTGGTTGACACCGATGAGCATGTCATAGTTGAGGAACTCCCCCTGTTGCATGAGGATCTCGGGGTCATCAGGGACCACGTCGCCATCCACCACGGGCCCAAAGGCAATGTGGTAGCTGGAAAAGGGGAACATGTGCTCTCACCAAGCTGTTCATTGGCCTCCTCTCTACCCGTGGCTGATGGACTCCACAGGCAGGTGCCTCCCTCTGCTTGCCAGACCCTGCGCCTCTTTGGGGAGTCTTTTAAAGCATTTTACAACCCCCCACCCCTACCATGCCCAGTTGCTCTATCTCAGGTACCTTTGCCGAGGGCAGGCTTCCCAGGGGCCAGCAGCAAGGTCCTCCTGAGGTCCACACCTCTTCCCTGGACCCCCTTGGAACCAGCAAGGGGAGTGACTGCCTGGACCCAGCACCCTCCCGGCCCCATACCGGGCAGGCTGCACATCCTGGTCCACCAGCTCCCGGGAGGGCTTCCGGCGCAGACACTCCACGGCCTCAGCGCTGTCCTCACGGTCACAGCCCACCTTGGCTGCCAGCAGCCGCGTGTACTTGAGCGGCTGGTAGTTGACAGACCAGCTGGAAATGGCGGTGCCACTCTGGGCGATGGCCTTCTGGAACAGCCCTGGGGGTGGGGCGGCGAGGGGAAATAGGAAGACTTCAGACTGGGCTATGAGCATCAGCCATGGTGGGAGGGGGAGTGGACAGGGAGAAGGGGGTGTGGGGGGCAGTCAGGGAGCAGCTGTTGATACCTTCCGAATGATGGGAGAGGATCAGAAGGTTGACGCAGGAGGCCCCTGCTCCGGATCCAAAGATGGTGATACGCTCGGGGTCACCCCCAAAGTGGGCGATATTTTCACTGAGCCAGCGCAGGGCCTGGATCTGGTCCAGGAGTCCATAGTTGCCTTTTGCAGCCTGGTCCCCGGTGCTGAGAAAACCTGGGGTTGGAGAAGAGAAACAGGGTCCATCTGGAGATGTCACAGAACAACCCCATTACTCCTTTCTGGGCAGCTCAGCCTTGCCCAGAAAGCCATTCTGCTGGATGATGAGGAACCCTGCCCATCCACACCCCCCACTCCAGGGTAGGCGGCCCGCCCTCACCAAGCACCCCCAGCCGGTAGTTGAGTGTGGCGACAATGACGTTGCCGTAGGCAGCCAGGACTGAGCCGTCGAACATGTTGCCAGTGCCCTCCATGTAGGAGCCGCCATGCAGGAACAACATCACTGGCTTCTTGCCTGAGTCCCGGATATCTGTGCATCAAGGCAAGGAGGGAACGGGTGGGCCAGGGGATCGGGGACAAGAACACAGTCAGCCCAGAAACAGCACTCCACTGTCTAGCTCCCAGGCCTACCAAGGACCACACGCCTGGAGCTCAGGGGACATATCACTATCTTCCCTGGTGGCAGGGGTGTGGAGGGGGCAAGACCAGATTCCCCTCACCCCTTCCACAGCTAGCCTTGGTGGACGGCCCCTCCCTGCCCCGCCCTGGGTCTGTCCCCACAGCACGGCTCATGATGCTGAATAGATCTTTTAAGAAGCCCAATAGAGGTCAAGGGCAGGAGGGGGGCCCTCCTCCAGGGCGTCTGCTGGATCCAAGGACCCTCCCCCCACCAGCACCTTTCTCACACACAACAAATCTCCTTCCTGCTAAAGGAAAAGCAGGCTCCCTAGGGTTGGAGCTAGAGATGCTGGGAGGTCCCTGGCTTGGCCTCAGACTTGGGCCTTGGGCCTGAGCACCACATGGCACCCTGGTCTGTGGGTGAGGGGGTGCCAGGCCTTTAGGGTCCCTGGGGGCTTGGTCTCCTCCCCGCCCTAATTCCTTTCTAGGTCACCTCCCCAGTTACCATGACAACCCCAGCCTAATTACTGTGGCAAGAGAAGGCAGGGTGGGAAAAGTGCCTGCTTAATGAAGTCCAGGTGCAGTTCTCTAGACTGGAACCCCACAAACTAGCCTGAGTGCCAGTCCTATCTGGGACCCACCTCCCAACCCCCACCCTACCACTGCCATTTCCCGGAGGTGCCTTTAGTCATGGTCCCATGTTGCAGCCCCTTGAGACGTTCCTTTGGGACTCAGGGATGATACCCAGCAAGAGTGGGAGTCAGCAGGGACCTTCCAGGGTCCCCAAGGTGATCATCCCCTTCCCTTTCTTCGTCCCCCATGGGCCAGGGGATGGGGTCCCTGCAACCCCACAGGCTTTCTTCTGCCTCAGCACCTGCCACGCACCCCTGGGCCTCCACCGCTGGCATTGACACCTGTCCCATTCCCTTCAAACTGCTGGAACCTCTTCCTGCTGGAAGGCTGGATGGTCAACCTGCAGGTCACTAAGACTTGTCTTTCTTGTCTCTTTGACTCTTAGACCTTCTCTGCAGCTGCCACCCTCCTGACTTCTGGTCACAGCTCCCCATCCCTCTGCCCCCAGATGGCAGTGCCCCCTCCTCTCTCCCCTAACGGAGGGGAAGGGCATTCTTCCCTCCCTTTAGAACCTCCCCTGGCCTTCCAGAAGTCTCTGGCTAGACTCTCTCTAAGGTGCTCCCCACCCTCCCCCCACCCTTTTCCCAGTATTGGGGGGGAGGGGGCTCAGAAAGGGAAGGAGCAGGAAGAGGGGCTGGGACAACAAGAATTCAAAACCAACAACAAAAACCAGGATCAAGAAAGAAGAAAGAAAGAAAGAAAAAAATAACAACCAAAAAGCAAGAAGCTCTCTGGGAGGGGGGCCATTTCAACAAGAAAAGAAAAAACAAAAAACAAAAAAAGATCCATTTTTGGGGAAAAAAGAAAAAAAAAGAAAAAAATTCTTTGCATTTTTTTGTTCCAAAATTTTGTGGTGAAACTTCAAGATATTGGGCCTTGTTTTCAAAAAGTGCCAGATTGTGTAAATGGCTTTAAATGCTGGAATTTTCTGTCTCACAGGTTTTTTTTTTTCTTTTTTCTTTTTTTTTTTTTTTGGAAACTGTAGAAGCTTTCAGATGTTTCTATTGTGTCAGTCGGCCAACTTTCAAATTCTCTTTCAAGTGTTGATTTGCTCCAGATTGAAATTATCTTTCAAATGTTACCATTCACAGGTTTCAAAACAGTCCAAATTTCTCCGACTCTAACCATCTGATCCAATTTTTTTCATATGCCAATTTATTTTTTTTTTCTTTTGCCACCTGACTTTTGCCATGTTTAGTTGGTTACCTACTGGGTCCAACATTGTTCAGATTCCGTTTGAAGTTTTCAGAACACTTTTTTTTTTTCAATTGTTACAAGTTTTTTTCTTTTTCTTTTCTTTTTCATTTTAGTGGGGGAGAGCAACTGAGGGGCCTTGAGGGCTGCAGGGGGGGACATTTAGTGAGGGGCAGGGCCGTGGAAGTCCTCTCATAAAGCAATCACATGCAGTAGCGGGATTTTTAAATCTACCTGTGTCTGGCGGATTGAGCGTCGCCTCGTCACGTTTTTTTGTGAGCGGACCTAAGACCGGGAACACAAAACAGAGAAAAAAAGGACAATTTTGTGGGGAAAGATGGGGGGGGGGTCGGAGGAGGTGGTGGATGGGGAGGGGAGGAGAGAAAGCAGAAAAGGGGAAGGTGGGGGGAGGCAGAAAAAATAAGCCAAAAAAAGCAAAATTTGTTTGCAAGAAAAAGAAACCAAGAAAAGTGAAAAACTTCTTTCTCTACAACCCAAACTGTGTTCCCCTCCCCGGAAAAAGTCATGCCCCAAAGAAAATGCAGGTTTTTGGGGGTGGGGTGGGGTGCCTGGAGTGGGCTGAGGCCTGTCTTAAGACCGATTGGCTTTGCTGAGCAGGACCCGGATTGTCCATAATTTTGCTAATTTTGCTGGAAATGAAACGGTGTTAGGGAAGGGTGGGAGGGAGTGGGGTGGGGTGGGGTGGGGAGTAGTCCCAGAAGACCAAGGCCTCACAGGCCGCCTGCCAATAAGGCCCCCCGCCAAGGGCCAGCCAAGCACCTGCCTGCTGCCCCACCCAGGCTGCAGAGAGGAGGGGCTGCGGCCCTAGGAGCTCTGCCTCCTTCTGGACCATTGGGGAGGGGAGAAGGCAGGAGGAGGGGTACCCCACCCCTCATAGCCCCAGGGAAGACCTTCCACTCCCTGCAGGAAAGCTGTGGGTAGGTCAGCGAGGGCTGCCCACCAGCTGCCTAGCCAGCCTCGGTCCAGCATTTCTGTCCCACTCGTTCTGCCAGGCCTGGCTTCTCTCACCCTGTCTTCCCAGTGTGGGGAAAGCAGAGGAAAGGGGTAAATCAGGTCTTGCCCTCCACTCCAAACTCTTCTTTCTGTACTCCCCTCCCCAGGCCTGCCTTACCTTAGCCTCCTTTCCTCCCTCCTCGAATGGCCAGCTTTCCACCAGAGCCCCCCAGCCCCGCTTCCACTCCCCTACCAGAAAGCCCCTGCCCCTCTGGCTGGGAGTTCATTCCACAAGGCACGGAGAGGACATTGTGCACCAGGAAGCAGGTGCAGGGAGCCATCCAGTCAGCTTCAGCTTTTCCCTCCACGGATGGTGGCCCCCTAGAAACCCCCAAACAGGGCCTCTTCTTTTTGAGATGGTAGGAAGGGGGATAAAGTCAGCAGGCATGTGTGTGCTTGAGATCATGAAGTGTATGTGTGTATGTGCACGCGCATACCCATGCGCCTGAGTCAACTGCTTCCAGAGCTGGTGTGACACCTTGGTGAGATCACCTGAATGTGTCAGGCCCCAGGCAGGTCTGCAAAAAGCGATGGTTAAAAATACAGCAGGTGTGGGCCAGGGTGGAAAGGGGGCAGGGATGATGCAAACACACCATCATGTGCAGGTGTTGCTGTGGTGGACAATGTACTGGGCCTGGGTGGCCATGTCCACCAAGGGGAAAGCTGGGAATAACAGAGTCCACAGGTGGGCTGTGTCAGGAGGAGAATCAGTCCTCTGTGTGCAGGTCCCAGGCTGAGTGACAGGAGGGAGGTCTCTGGGACATAGGAAGGCACACAGAGGAGCCTGATGTATTGGGGAGGTATTGGGGTACACAGTCTGGGGGATGGCAGTTCTGGAGATTTGGTCAAGATTCAACTAGATGAAGTCTCTGTGCTTTGTGTGTCTACAGGTGGGTGGAAGGTGTGGCTGATAGGGCGAGGGACAGGGTGTGGCTGGTATGAGGGATTTAGGGTGGCTAGTCCTTTTGAGAGGTATGGAGGTGGATTGGGACACATGAGTTAGCATATGATTGATTCTAGAAGATTCTGGTGCAGGGTGTGAAGGGTTGCAGCACCTGATCCAGAGCAGTGTGCACAGGGTGGGCAGGTGCTATTGCCAGCTGAGGTGCAGTGCAGCTGATCTCTAGGTGGCAAATGGTGTTTAAGAAGTGCTGCGGGTGCTGGGGACTGGGATGTGAGCAGTCCGCTGGTTATGTGAAAAGAAGCTGTATGTACAGAGTACATGATCTGTGTCCAGGGATGTGGGGAGGGGCACAGATCTGTGTGCACAGTGGGCGCCCAGGACAGGAAGTGCAGGGATCTGCCCTGCAGAGGTACTAGAAATTGTGCCACGAGGGACACACTCATTGGGGGCAGAGGCTGGCTAGGTGCGGTCATGGAGACTCAAGAGTATTTGGGGGGAATTTGTTTGGGTAATGTGGAGTGCTGCAGGGGTGACTGGGCTCCAGAAGTGCTGGGGTAGCGGGGATGAGGTATCAGAAGGGACATAGTCTGGTGGGGTGGCCGGTGTCAGCTGTTGCTGATCAGCCTTTGTGGTTGGCTGGAAGGCATTCTGATTGAAGTTGGTGTGTGGAAGGTGGACAGATGGAAGAACAGTCTAGGGAGTGTGTGCTGGGGCAGGGGGCAAGTAGGGGCTGCCCTGCAGACACCTGAAGTTCATTACCAAGAGCAGCAGCTAGACAGCACCCTTCCTCTACCCCTCATATTCTGCAGCAGCTGGAGAGGCCCTTGGCAAGGAACTCCAGGGGTACCACAGGGGCACACAGAGGGGCTAGACTAGGTAGGAAAGACAGTGGCACTGCCCAAGGGCACCAAGCTCAGCAAGGAGTCTGCGCCGATGATGTGTCAGAAGCCAGACTCCTGCCCTGCTGGCCTGGGAGACAGGAAGAGTCTCCATTGTCCTTGAGATGTGATTGGCCCTAAAGTGCCCCAGGCCTGGTGGTGGGAGACCCAGTAAGGTGCAGAGCGCACATATGAGCAGGGTGCAGGGGAGAGAGACCTCCCTTGCCTCATCCCCCTTAGTGTCCACATTGAGCATGGGCAGCGAGTTCCATGGGCCTCTTTGAGCACTGGGTGAGTAGGCCTAGCTTGATGCCTGCCACCTTCATCTGGCATGGCTCTCTAGGGGTGCAAAGCACTTCTGGGGGCAGCTGTCTGCCCGCTGCTCCTGGGATGATGCTGCAGGTACTCTAGCCAGGTAGGCTCCACAGGGGTACTCAGAGGCTGCGGGGGCGGGGGGTGGGGGGGAGCCCAAGGGCCCGGCTCCCGGCCAGCCCTGCTCTGGATGCCTGCAGGTCTGTCTGTGCGTTTGTGGGTTGTGTCCACGGAGGGGAGGTGGGTGTGCCCAGTCTGGTGCCCGCGCCCCCTTACCGTCCTCGGTGGGTACGTAGAGGTTGAGGTAGAGGCAGTCCTCGCTCTGGTTCTGCACATAGGTAGCAGCTGCCTCCAAGTTGTCGGTGAACCACACGGGCAGCATGATGGCGGGGAGCGCCCCGTGCAGGTTCTGCGGGCAGGCGGGCGGCAGGCTGGTGGCGTTGCGCACGCCGGGCCACGAGGCGGGCGCCTCAGGCGGCTGGAAGCGGCGGGCGCCCAGGGGTGGCGTGGCGTAGGGCACCCCCAAGAACTGCACCACGGGGCCCAGGATCTCGTTGTTAAGCTCACGCCGCACGCCGCGGACTCGCCCGTAGGCCGTGTTCACCACTGGGAAGCGCTCCTCGCCGAGGCTGCCGAGGCCCAGGCCCGGGCCACCCGGGGCGCTGCCACCACCGCCGCCGGGACCCCCTCCCCCCCGTTGAGCCCCCGCCAGCCCCACCAGACACAGCGCCAGGAGCCACATGCTGATCGGGGGACCCCCCTCCCTCCCCGGGACCCCCCCCCTCGGAGAGAGAGAGAAGGGGGGGAGAGGGAGGGAGGCCCCCCTCGCCCCTGGGGGGAGGAGGGGGCGGGGGAAAGGAGGGAGGAAGGGGGGCGGGGAGGGACCTGGGTTAGACGGGGCAGAGAGTGGGTCTGTTCCTCTCCATGGAGGGGGCAAGGGGTGGGGAAGGGGAAGGAGGTGGGAGAAGATGCTGGCAGGCTCGACCTGCGGGAGGCCGGGTGATGGGTGGGGCGTGCAAGATACAGACAGACAAACGGACAGACAGAAAAATACAGAGGAGAGGGTGGGGAACGGAGGGCCATTGGACGGGGCAGGCAGGGAGGGATGGGGGAAAGAAGACAAGTGGTTAGTGTCTTGGACTTAAGACCAAGTTGCCCCCTTCTTCCACCCGCAGTCCCCACCCCTCACCCAGCACCTCCCACCTCTCCCTTTCTCTTCTGGGGACCCCAGCCGTAGGCCAACACCCCCCTCCCAGCCAGGCAAAATCTCCTCAGGGCCTCAGGAGCCTCACTTCCCACCTCCCGGGGAGGGGATGAGACAGACAAGGAAGAGAAAATAAAAAATACCAAGTCATTAATTAGCAGGAAGTGGCGGGTTTGTTTATACGTGTTAATTACTTCTGAGCTGTAATTTCATGGCACTGAACCCCCACCCTAGGCCAGGATGGAGCCCTTTCTTGGGACTGCACGGGCCCCAACATGCACTGTTTCCCCCAAGGATCTGTGCTTCTCCCCCAGGGCCCTTTCCTCCCCCTCCCTTCCTCCCTCAGAAGTTGGGGTGCCTTAAGGCAGGGGTTAGAGGAGGGAGGGGATGCTGGAGGGGCAAATCCGGGGACAGATGCGTGATCCTGCAGCCGGTTGCCGGGCGACGGGATGCTGCCCCGCAATGTTACCTCGGCAACGGGCTGCAGCTTTAACCCTGGTTGGGGGGGGGGGGTTGGTTCTGGAGGAACAGGAGAAGGGACCTGCTTGGTTGTGGGGCCCATTTGTGGCAGGACAGGGAAGGCAGAGGGATGAATCAGAATGACTAGCTTGCCCGGCCTCAGCACGCAGGACAAGTATATATGCTGAGGGGAGGGGGATATTGGGGGCCATCCACAACCCCCCAAAAGACCTGCCTCTTGTTCCCCTTATTGGCCAATCAGAGCCTAGCCCTAGTGACCAGGCCTCTGGAGAAAGGATGGTGAAGTGGGCTTGAGGAGGTGTCTCAGAATCCTATGGACCACCCCCTCCCACAATCCTGAATGGTCTGGGAGGCCTGCCATCCCAGACACCTCTGAAAAAAAATTTTTTTTTGGTACAGCATTTTGACCCAAGTCTTGAGGTTGGGGGGGAGGTAACCTCAGCTTTCTTTATATTCTATCCCACCCGATCACCTCCCCTTCTCCCTGCAGGCCACCCCTCCAAACTCCCACAGTCCCTGCTCTGCTACTGGGGTGCTCAGGCCGAGGGGCAGATGTCCCCCCACCCCCCACCAGCCGCCCGAGCCGTTTGCTGACGCGGGGTTTTCGGAGCCAGGCGCCAGCCCGCGGGTGGCTCTCTGCAGGTGTCAATTTATTCCCGAGCCGAGGACACAGGAATCCTTAGCACTCACACCCAGCGCTGCCCTCCTCCCTCTGCTGCTCCTCCTCAGTTCCTGCTCCCCCATCACCTGCAGGGGGCTTGGGGTTGGCTCACCACCCACCCCTGCCTATGCCAGCCTAGGCTTGGCCACCAGGGCCTGGCAACCCCCTCCCCCAGGGTGGTCAGCCTGTCACCCTCTCCCCTAAGGCACTTTGGGCCCCTGGCCCCCTCCCCCTGGAGCCAGCCTAGTCCCTGCTTCCTGGGCACGGGAGCCTCCGGCATCTGCCTTTTCCCTCTTCTCCCTCGCCACCTTGGCCTCTTCCAGCTCTTGCCTTCGGTCTCGTCTTTTTCCATCTCTCTTCTCCACCCCTCTCTCCTTGGTGTTCCCCCCACCTCCTCCAAATAGCTTCCCCAAATTTCTCCCTCAAGCCCCCCCCGTCTCTCCCTAGCTGTCTCCCCCATTTTCTCTCCTCATCTCTGTCTGCCACATCTTGCTTTCCCCTCTCTTTCCTCCCCATCCCTTGCTCTGTCTCCCCGTTCCTGCCCAGGCCTGACTCCCCCCCGACACACACCAGCCCGGGAGAGTTGAGGGACGGGGGGCTCAGGCCGCAGGCCCCCCCTTTCCTGCAGTGGGGAAAATGGCTTGGCCAGGAAGAGGAGGAGGAGGGGGAGGGGGAGATGGGAACACACGGGGGTCTGTGGGCCCATTCAAAGGATCATTCATGGACTGGAGAGAGGCAGAGACAAAGAGACCAAGACGCAGAGACACGGCTAGAGCATCCCTAGGCGGAGACGCGCAGACACAGCAGGCTGGGGGAGACCGGGCGCAGGGAGCAGAGGGGGAGAAGGAGACCCCAGCGGACCGCCACGCAGCCCCCGCCACCCGCTCCAGCTCAGCTCCTACCTGGCTCAGCCCCGGGGCCGTGGTGCCTCCATCCAGGGCTCGGAGTTAGGGGGGCGGCCGGGCTCGGGGAGGGGGGCGGTGGCCTCCAAGCCCCCGCGCGGCCCCGCAGGCCCAGCCCCCGCCCGCAGCGCCTCACCCGGCGGGGGAGGGGGATCGCCCCAGCCCCGGGGGGGGCGGGGCCGGGATCCAGTCGATCCCTGGGTTAAAAAAAGAGAGCTAGAGGATGGGGTCAAGGGAGAGCCCGAGAACAGGGAACCCCGCAGTGGGGCAGAGCAGGGAGGAGGCGACGGGCCGGGATGGGGTTGGGGATCCACTGGCTCCGTGGGCTGGCTGCGAGGGACCAGAAGGCGGTCCAGGCAGAGGATCCTAAGGGATCGGGTGCCGGAGGAGGAGTCTACGGCAATCCCCAGGGGCCCGGGGCCCCCGGAGCGCAGGATTCGCGGTGCAGGGGCAGGGATCCAGCCGGAATCTTCGGGGAGGGAGGGGGAGGAGGGATCTAGTCGATCCCGAGGGCGGGTGGGAGGGAAGGGGGGAGGTCCGGGGGAGTCCGAGGAGGACGGGAGCCGAGTCCGGAGCCCCGAGGCGGGGGGCTGGGGGGGTTGGCGCTCAGCACCCGGGAGGCCCAGACTCCTGGCTCCGCGCGCCAGGGCCCGGCCGCCCCGCATCCATCCCAGCCCGAGAGTGATGATCCGCCGGCGGAGCAGCCGCAGCAGCCCCGCGCGTCACCGCGCGGCCGCCTCCCCCGCCCCCTGCCGGGAGAGCGGCGCACACCCCTCGCTCGCAGCCGCCCGCCCGCCCTCCCGAGTGTGGGGGGATTGCGAACGCTGGGAGGGGGCGGGAGTGGACGGACGGACGGATGGACGTGGCTGGCCGGGGCAGGGTGGAGATGCCCTCCCCCTCATCCCGCTCTCCCACCCTCCGGGCTGTGCGTGTGCGTGCGTGTGTGTGTGTGTGTGTGTGTGTGTGTGTGTGTGCGCGCGCGCGCAGGGGGGCGGCGGGGGAGGGGGTCTGGACCATTGGGGCGGAGCCTCCCAGGAAGGAGGCGGGGCTTTGGGCCTGGCGGGGAGGGGCCATCGTGGGTGGGCGGGGTTTGACGGGCGATGGGTGGGGCTTGGGTAACTGCAGGGCTGCCTGTTTTGGGGAGTGGGTCTGGTTTGAACGCTGAGCAGGAGGAGCCTGCGGGGCAAAGGGGCGGAGCTTCGCGTGGGGCCCGGGATCTTTGGAAAGCGGTCGGAGTGACGGGGGAGTGGGGGGCGGGGATGGCTCCAAGAGGCGATCAACTTGGAAAGTGGGCCAATCCGTGACGCAAATCCACTAGACCCGCCCCCAGCCCGCCCCGCTACTGCCCCCGCTCGTCCGCTCCTCATTGGTTCTGGTTTCTCCGCCCCGCCAGAGCGTCTGCTCCACTCAGCAGCGGCTTTACAACGGCGCCAGGACCCGGGTGAGGGACCCAGACGCCGAAACGAACACGGTCTGGATTGGACAGGCCGTGGACTCGATTTGCATGGGCGATCGGGATAGGCTGGCTTCGTGGGCGGCCCGGGCGGGGCGCGTCGCGCGCGTGACCACCCGCAGCCATGGCCGGGCTGGGCGCTGCTTTCCGCCGCCTGGGCGCCCTGTCCGGAGCCGGGGCCTTGGGCTTGGCCACCTACGGGGCGCACGGTCAGGGGGGCTGGGGAGTGTGTGCAGGTCTGGTGGAGGGTGGCCCCAATCAGTGACCAACACGCCCCTCAGCCGAGCTCTGCAGGCGGGAGACTGTGGGCGTCGGGGTTGTGGGCAGTCCTCGTGTCCACCTGGGTCCCCTGCCGGGAGGGAGGACGGGCGGTCGGGGCAAGCACTAGGGCTGGTAACCTTTACCTCTCTCCACAGGCGCCCAGTTCCCAGATGCCTACGGCAAAGAGGTGAAGTAGCTGCCCGGGGCTCCCCGACGGAGGCGTAGAGTCTGGGGTTTCCGTGAGAAGTTGGGGGGCGGGCGGCGGCGTGGAAGGTGCAGGTCTCTGAATAGGGCTGCGGGTGTGGAGATGTGGGTGCCCGAGGGAGTGGCAGCCGGGGACTTGGAGAAGGGCAATTAACCTTTGACCCCCCACAATGCCACAGGGTTGGGGCGGGGTTGGGGTACCGACCTCCTGCTTGCCTTAGCAAGTCCCGCTGGGTTTCTTTCCACTCCAGCTCTTCGACAAAGCCAACAAACACCACTTCCTACACAGCCTGGCCTTATTAGGGGTGCCTCATTGCAGAAAGCCCCTCTGGGTAATGTGCCCCCTGCCCTGGCCCCACCCACTCTCCCCCTCTTCTCCCTGTCCCCTCACCCCCCTTTTGACAAGCCTGTGTGTCCCTTTAGGCTGGGCTGCTGCTAGCCTCGGGAACCACCTTGTTCTGCACCAGCTTTTACTACCAGGCGCTGAGCGGAGACCCCAGCATCCAGAATGTGGCCCCAGTGGGCGGGAGCCTGCTACTGTTGGGCTGGCTTGCCCTGGCACTTTGAGATTGCTTTGTATACTTGTTGGCTTGTCCCAGTTACTTTTGGGGCGTGGGGACATTGGGGAACAAGAAGAAAATTAAAAGAGAAAGGCAAATGAAGAACACTGCGGTCCTGGTTCCTCTAACCTTGTGGAGGAGGACGGGTAGGGATTCAACCTTTGAGCACCATCGGAGACCTAGCGATGGGTTTGGGTGCTGGGCTTTAATTCTCCTCAAGTTGGAATTGTTACACTGTTCTTAACCTGGCGAGCATCAGAGTGGGGAGAACTTGGAATCATGCAGATTTCTACCAAGACCACTTACCCCGTGGTTCTGATGTTCTCTAGAATTCAGAGGGGTGTGGCTGTCAGCCCTGCCTCGCAACCAATTTATTGTATTGCTGGTTAATGCAAGAAGGTGCAGGTGGAGTATTGTTCGTTAAATAAAAAAGATCAGGGTTGGGGCCCAGCGCGGTGGCGCAGTGGTTAATGTCCTCGCCTTGCACGCCTGGGATCCCATATGGGCGCCGGTTTTAGTCCCGACGGCCCCGCTTCCCATCCAGCTCCCTGCCTGTGGCCCGGGAAAGCAGTCGAGGACGGCCCAAAGCTTTGGGACCCTGCACCCGCGTGGGAGACCCGGAAGAGTCTCCTGGCTTCGGATTGGCACAGCACCGGCCGTTGCGCTCACTTGGGGAGTGAATCATCGGATGGAAGATCTTCCTCTTTGTCTCTCCTCTCTGTATATCTGCCTTTGCAATAAAAAAAAAAAAAAATCTTAAAAAAAAGATTAGGGTTCAAGGCAGGGACAGAATGACACATCTGGGGGGTGAGAACATGTTTCACAGCACTTGAGATGAAGTGTATGAGACCACAAACCCAGGAGCTTGAGTGGATGCAACATGGGACAGTGTCGGCCAAGTTTCTGAGTTTGGTAGGAAAGGAGGGAGAAAAAGTGGCAAGGCAGGTTGCAGGGCACTGCTAGGGTGTAGACACCCGGAAGATCCAAGCTGCTTCTGCCTCATGCCCCACACACACCCACGTGGCTGGGAGTAGGTCCGACTGGACTAGGGACTTGGGAACTCAATCTTGGTCTTCCATGTAGGCGGTGGGGACCCCCTAACTCTTGAAGCCACCTTTTGCTGCCTCCCAGGGTCTTGAACCGCAATACGGGATAATGAGTGTCCTAATCTGTGACTTAGCTGATAGCCCAAAAATCTCACCCAAGGACCCAGTATTTGCTCACGTATCAGACACACATCACAAGACGGGCGTTGGCCATTTCCTTAGGTGCTTTCTTGCCACATGGTTTACAAACAGCTAAACACGCAAATACATCGGGGTGAATGGTGCTAGGTGACTGAAGGAAAAGAACGGGGAGATGGTGGGAGAGCTGGAAGGATACCTCTTTAAATGGGAAGGCCTGACTAACCGGATTCGTGTGGCTGACCTAAGGGGAACTAGGCCCGAGACTGAAAGGATGGCTGACGAATCAGGCCAGCAGGAGCAGCTCCAAGTCCTCGGGGCTGGAGAAAATGTGGCGAGTTGGAGTCGCGCACTCGGACTTGGCGATGCAGTAAGTCACCAGGTTTGAGGCATCCATGATTTATAACCCATGTGATGGACTGAGGGATGTTATACATTTTTCAGAAGGTACGCATTCCAAACTGCAAACCCTTTCTTTAGATGAAAGATGTTTTCAGATGTGATAAAACACGTAAAGGGCCTGTGCTACTGACATCCTGCATCAGCACCAGCTCCAGTCCTGGATGCTCTGTTTCCCATCCAGCTCCCTGCCAGTGCACCTGGGAAGGTAGCAGAGCATGGCCCGGCTGCTGGAGCCCCTGCCTCCCTTGGGAGAGACTTGAATGGAGTTACCAGCTTTTGCTGTGGCTGTTTGCAGAGTGAACAAGTAGGTGTGTGTCCCTCTTTCTCATTCTGCCTTTCAAATAAAACTATTTTTTGGTAAAAAGTGGTTTTTTATTATTTACTTACAATTTTTTTTAATTGGAAAATCAGATATACAAATAGGAAGAGACACAAAGAGGAAGATCTTCTATCCAATGATTTCACCCCCTAAATGGCCGCAGTGGCCGGAGCTGCACCGATTTGAAGTCAGGAACCAGAAGCCTCTCCCTGGTCTCCCACACGGGTGCAGGGTTTCAAGGTTTTGGCTATCCTCAATGGCTTTCCCAGGCCACAAGCAGAGAGCCAGATGGGAAGCAGAGCGCCAGGACACAAACCAATGGCCATATGAAATCCCATCATGTGCAAGATGAGGACTTTCGCCACTAGGCTACCATGCTGGGCCCAAACTTTTCTTAAGATTTTTTTTTTTTTTTAATTGGGAAGTCAGATTTACAGAGGAGAGACAGAAAGACCTTCCATCTGCTGATTCACTCCCTAAGTGGCCACAATGACTGGAGCTGAGCTGACTCGAAGTCATGAGTTAGTAGCCTTCTCAGGTTTCCACACGGCAGGTAAAGGATCCCAAGGCCACCCCTCACTGCCTTCCCAGCCACAAGCAGGGAACTAGATGGGAAGTGGAGCAGCTGAGACTGAACTGATGCCTACATGGGATCCCATTGGATGCAAGATGAAGATTTAGCCACTAGGCTATTGCATCAGGCCCTAAATAAATCTTTCAAAAAGGAAAGTTTTTAGATACTCTCCTTTATAATAGTTTGCATACCTTGAGCTCAGCGTGATGGCTCAATTGGCTTATCTTCCTCCCCCTTTTTGTAAATGATTTGTTTATTTTTATTGAAAAGTCAGATATACAGAAAGGAAGATCTTCTGTTCGATGATTCACTCCCCGAATGACTACAACGGCCTGTGCTGTGCCAATCTGAAGCCAGGAGTCAGGAACCTTCTCCAAGTCTCCCATGTGGGTGCAGGTTCCCAAGGCTTTGGGCCATCTCTACTGCCTTCCCAGGCCACAAGCAGGGAGCTGGATGGGAAGTAAAGCAGCCAGAACTGGCGCCAATGTGGGTTTTGGCGCTTGTAGGCAGAGGATAAGGCAGTTGAGCCATCATGCCAGCTCCAGGTGCTCTGTCTTGCACTCCAGTTTCTGACTAGCTTCTGACTTCTGTACCAGCAGCTTTCTAGGCAGCCATGAGGCAAGAGTTTATTGGAGGCCCATGAAAGTTCCTGATTGGCTGTTGCAGCAGGTCAGCAGGAGGGAGGCCCTGCAGTAGAGGCCCTGTGCTCAGAGGCCAGCTCTGCCCAGGGCATGGGAAGCCCCTGAGCTGCATCTTCGTGTCCAGGGAGGCAGCACACATTTTGAGGTGCAACAGCAGAGGATCACAATATTTCTTCATTTAATTTGGGGGAAGATGTTATCTTCATTTCTTTGGAAGGCAGAAGGACAGAGAGGGAGAGAGAAAAGTCAAGATTTCCGGGGCCCCGGCAGCGTGGCCTAGCAGCTAAAATCCTTACCTTGAACGTGCCAGGGTCCAAAGTGGGCACAGGTTCTAATCCCAGCAGCTCCACTTCCCATCCAGTTCTCTGCTTGTGGCCTGGGAAGGCAGTTGAGGACGGCCCAAAGCCTTGGGACCCTGCACCCGCGTGGGAGACCTGGAAGAAGTTCCTGGCTCCTGGCTTCGGATCAGCACAGTACCGGCTGTTGCGCTCACTTGGGGAGTGAATCATCGCACGGAAGATCTTCCTCTCTGTTTCTCCTCCTCTCTGTATATCTGACTTTGTAATAAAAATAAATAAATCTTAAAAAAAAAAGTCAAGGTTTTTCCCATCTGCTGTTTTTTTCTTTTCTTTTTTTTTTTTTTAAGATTTATTTATTTTTATTGGAAAGGCAGATATACAGAGAGGAGGAGAGACAGAGAGAAAGATCTTCCACCCAGCAGCTCACTCTCCAAGAGGCCATAACGACTGGAGCTGAGCCAGTCCGAAGCCAGGAGCCTGGAACTTTTTCCAGGCCTCCCATGAGGGTGCAGGATCCCAAAGCTTTGGGCCGTCTTCCGCTGCTTTCCCACGCCTCAGGCAGGGAGCTGAATGGGAAGTGAGGCCCTGGGATTAGAACCGGTGCCCACATGGGATCCCAGCACATTCAAGGTGAAGAGTTTAACCACTACACTATCATGCCGGGCCCGCATCTGCTGTTTCTTTCTTCATATGGTTGCAGTGGCCAGGCTGAAGCCAGGAGCCAGAAAATGCATCCAGGTCTCCCACATGGGTGGTAAGGGCCCAGTTACCTGAGCCATCTTTTGCTGCCTTAGCGAGATATGTTAGCAGAGAGCTGGGTTAGAGGTGGAGCAACAGGAACTTGAGCTAGAAGTATGATATGGGTTCTAGTATTGCAGGTGGCAACTTGATACTGTAGGCCACAATGCTGGATCTGATTTCATTTTCATAATGATTTACTTAATTGTTATATGAAGGCAAAATTACAGAGAGAAGGAGATAGAGATCTTTTTTTTTTCAAGATTTATTTTTTTTAAAGATATATTTTTATTATGTTTTTATTGGAAAAGCGGATATACAGAGAGGAGAGACAGAGAGGAAGATCTTCCGTCCAATGATTCACTCCCCAAGTGAGTGCAACAGCCAATACTATGCCAATCCGAAGCCAGGAGCCTCTTCCGGGTCTCCCACGCGGGTGCAGGGTCCCAAAGCTTTGGGCCGTCCTAGACTGCTTTCCCGGGCCACAGGCAGGGAGCTGGAAGGGAAGTGGGGCTGCTGGGATAGAACCGGCGCCCATATGGGATTCCGGGCATGCTAGGTAAGGACCTTAACCACTTGCGCCACCGCGCCGAGCCCGATTTATTTATTTTTATTTGAAAGACATACATGCTTCAAATCCTAGCTGGCCCACTTCTGATCCAACTCCCTGCTAATGTGCCTGGGAAAAAAGCAGAAGATAGCCTAAGTGCCCAGGTACTGTGCCTACATGGAAGACCAGATGAAGCTCCTGGTCTCTGGCTGACCCAGCTCCAGCCATGGCTACCATTTGAGAAGTGAACCACTGGATGGAATTTTGAGTGTGTGTGTGTGTGTGTGTCCCTCTCTCTAATTCTGCCTTTCAAATAGAAAGAGAACGAAAAGAAAAAATAAAGACAGAGAGAGAGAGAAGGAGAGACCTAGATCAAGGTCTTCCATCTTCTGGTT